AACAATAAATTCACAAGCCTTTTGCCAAAAACTTTTTTTTTATAAAAAAAATACCCATAGTTTCACAAAACTAATAAATTAAGACATACTTTTTTAATTCTTTTTCTTTTTTGCTAAACCGCAGAAGTTTCAGACCTTTGGCCCTCGACGCTTGGAACCAACTTTTAGTCAATTCCGATTTAAAGAATGTTTATCCGTTCTAAGGGGAGATTATATTCAGCCAGGGCCGACTTAGAGGGTGTGCCAACAGTGCATTTGCAAATGGTCCACTTTTTTTTTAAGTCATTTTTTAAAGCAATTAGAGTCCTATGTTTTTGAAAATTATATAAAAAGGGTCCAAATCTAAACATATGTGTAAGATATAAACCTTTTTTTTTTAACTGGGCACAAAGTCCCATTTATTTTTGAGCCGGGTCTGTATTCAGCACACAATAAAATCAACCCTTTTGTTTACCATTAGACCACGTCCACCACACGTTTGGTAAGGCATACTAAAATTGTAACACAAAATTTGCGGATTTTACGGTTTCTAGTCTCGGTTTAATTATTCCAATTTTTATTTGCTAGAATATAAGGTTATTTCGTGAACTTTTAAGATTTTTGGAAAAAATATCTACTCCAAAACTAAACAACGACGATGAGCTTATTAGGAGCACTAATTGGCTTAAAAGAACTGTCGCACGATGAAAAATCAAGTGCCGTGATTTGTTAATATGATTCGGCTCTCTATACCAAAAGAAAATAACAAAGAAAATTTTGGCAACCAAGCACAATACTATATATATATATATATATATATAGTTAGGTTATATGTATAGAAGACTTTAATTTGGTTCTATCAATGAGTTTTGACGAACACGATCCACTGCAGAAAGATTTATGAAAACTGTGTTTGTGTTCCAAATCCATGTTTCAACCGAATCTAATCTTGATAGGAAAACAAGAAAGCCGCCCAAAAAAAAAAAAAAAAAAAAACTTTCTACAGAGAATCTATGAGAATAAAACTGAAAGTGTGAATAGGACCCACCCTCGATCGCAGTCGCTGAGATCCAATCACGTTTAGCTTCTCATATAGGACCCACCCACTCAACTTGTTCCTTTCTTTTTTTTAATATCTCAAACTCTTTAACTCAATTAACAACAACTAAACTCTTTAACTCAATTAACATTATTAACAACACTATCCGTACTAGTAGTTTTATTAACAACACTATCCGATTAAATTTGGGTATATAGTCATATTATCTGGAAAATACCTTGAATTCAATTTCCACGAATATTTTGCAAACCTACCCTACAAATTTTTGGACTAGATTCATAACTTTGATAAAACAAAATTGAGAAAGAAAAGAACATGTTGAGACAAAAAGTATATAAATATTGTCTTTAATGTACTTTGAGGACCCAATAAAAAAAACACACTTCGTCTTGTCTCTCACAACCTTTGAACTTCCTTTTCCAGAGATCTCTTACTTTTTCGTTTTTTCTGCTACACACTTCTTTCACTCTGTTTTTATTTTCCTTTGAGATTCCGAGGTACGTACAACGAAAAGAACCCTCTAATTTTTTTTTTTAATTATCTAACAAGAATCTTAAATAAAACCCACCTCTAAATTAGCTTATCCCCGAGTTAAAAAATAAAAATAAAATTAACTTACATTTATCTCCAAAAAATCGCATCCCTTATATATGCATATCGTTGTAGAGTTATAGACTAACAAGAAAGAGATTAGGAAGAGATTAGGAAGAGAGACGGCGATGGCGGCTACAGGATCTGGACGGTCTCAATTCATTTCCAGCTCCGGCGGTAACCGAAGCATCGAGAACTCTGATTCTAATCAGATTATTGTCTCTGAGGTTTGTTCCTTTCCTTTTTTTTTTTTTTTTTTGTTGTTGTTGTTGTTGCATTTGTTATCTCTTCTAAAAATCTAGTCTCAAGAACTAGGTCTACACACGACTTGAATATGGATAGAATCGTTAATGGCTAAACTCTGTTAATGGATTTGGCTTAAAACCCTTGAAAATCTGTTTATTTATTTTTAATCTTGTAAAAAAACTCGCATGCGTTTGATTAGTAATTAATCAAACTAATTAAGTACCAGCTTCTGAGTCAAGAAATATCTGTCAGAGTCAACATATCAGACTAAAAACCACAGAGAATCTTGATTTTGCATTTCTTGATTCAGAAAATGATAAAGAGTTTGTTTTGATCATTAACTTTGTATCATAATTGCAGAAGAAGAGCTGGAAGAATTTCTTCGCTTACTTAGGCCCTGGTTTTCTTGTTTCAATCGCATATATTGATCCTGGAAATTGTAAGATCATAAAGCACATCACTTTCTTATAAGTACTATCTTTTAGATGATTAATGCTTCTTTCTTCTTCCTGTGTTTTGCAGTTGAGACTGATCTGCAATCTGGAGCACAATACAAGTATGAGGTGTGCTCCTACTCTCCTTTACTCTCTTTTATCTCTTAGTTTGCAATTTTATAAAATCCTGATTTCTCTGTTAAAACAGTTACTTTGGATCATATTGGTGGCCTCGTGTGCGGCTTTGGTTATTCAATCTCTGGCTGCTAATCTTGGTGTTGTCACAGGTTACCTCATTCAACCACAAAAATCCGCTGTATCTTTTAGTTCTATGATCCAAGTTTACTAAATTCCGCTACATGATCACAGGCAAACATTTGGCTGAGCAATGTAGAGCCGAGTACTCCAAAGTTCCAAACTTTATGTTATGGGTCGTTGCAGAAATTGCAGTAGTCGCTTGTGACATACCTGAAGGTATCACACTTCTTTACTCTTTTAGTGTGATTCAATACTTTTCTCTAACCTCTTTTTGGATACTAATTGCCTTAATGGGCTTCCTTATATATATAGTTATCGGAACAGCTTTTGCTCTGAACATGCTCTTTAGCATACCGGTGTGGATTGGTGTTCTTTTGACAGGCTTAAGTACTCTGATTCTTCTCGCGCTTCAAAAATACGGGGTATTAGTTTTGACAGTTGCATCTCTTATTCTCGTTCACGGTGCTATGTATGGTGAAAACTTATGATATTTGTTCTTGTTTGGTATTTACAGGTGAGAAAGTTGGAGTTCTTGATTGCGTTTCTTGTGTTCACAATTGCTATATGCTTCTTTGTTGAGCTTCATTACTCAAAGCCAGACCCAGGAGAAGTCCTACATGGTCTCTTTGTTCCTCAACTTAAAGGAAATGGTGCAACTGGTCTTGCAATCTCTTTGCTCGGAGCCATGGTTATGCCGTAAGCTCACTCTCTCTTCTCCCTATTCATCATAAGATTCTTTGATAAATCTTCTGAGAGCGTCTGTTTTCCGCAGGCATAATCTCTTCCTCCACTCGGCCTTGGTTCTCTCCAGGAAAATCCCTCGTTCCGCTTCTGGTATCAAGGAAGCTTGCAGGTTTTACTTGATAGAAAGCGGATTGGCTCTAATGGTGGCCTTTCTCATAAACGTCTCTGTGATATCAGTAAGTGGGGCTGTTTGTAATGCCCCAAACTTAAGCCCTGAAGATCGAGCTAATTGTGAGGATTTGGACTTAAACAAGGCTTCGTTTCTGCTACGGGTATATTGCTTGTTTCCTAGTTAATTTGTTTCTTTCCATAATATTTCAGAACATTTAAGTGATGTCCTTCCTCTGTTTTGAAACAGAACGTTGTGGGAAAATGGAGCTCAAAGCTATTTGCAATAGCGCTTCTTGCCTCTGGTCAGAGCTCGACCATAACCGGAACTTATGCTGGACAATACGTAATGCAGGGCTTTCTTGATCTAAGACTCGAGCCATGGCTCAGAAACTTACTAACAAGATGCTTAGCCATAATCCCGAGTCTAATTGTTGCTCTCATAGGCGGTTCGGCTGGAGCTGGAAAGCTAATCATCATTGCCTCGGTACCAAAATCATTTCTATCTCTAATTATGATGTATATATGACTTACTACACGATATCAAATCATCAATTGAATAAATCTTAACACAGATGATCTTATCCTTTGAGCTCCCGTTCGCGTTGGTTCCTCTTCTCAAGTTCACTAGCTGCAAAACCAAGATGGGTTCACACGTCAACCCAATGGCGGTATGTAACAATCAAACACATTTTCATTTAAAAGAAAAACGGTGAAATACTTTCATCATCATCTCTGACTTCATATGTTTCCTTTATTCACAGATTTCAGCTTTGACTTGGGTCATTGGTGGTTTAATCATGGGAATAAACATATACTATCTAGTAAGCAGTTTCATCAAACTGCTTATCCATAGTCATATGAAGCTTGCCCTCGTCGTCTTCTGTGGAATTCTTGGGTTCGCAGGCATTGCTCTCTATTTAGCCGCCATAGCTTACCTTGTCTTCCGGAAAAACAGAGAAGCCACTCCTCTTCTTGCATCAAGAAACTCACAAAATGTGGAGACACTTCCAAGACAGGACATTGTCAACATGCAGTTACCATGTAGAGTGTCTACCTCCGATGTTGATTGAGTATTCATAAAACTTAGGATTCCAATAAAATTAGATGCAAACCAAGTTCATAAAGACCTTTCGATAGTACTAGAAAAAAGGTTATTCGACCTTTTTATAAGAATTGGTTTGCATCTTTTCTTTATCAGATATTCGTACGAACAACCTTATAAATAACACATGGGATAATAAAATCATTACTTCCATTATCATTTCATACTCATGATGTAACATATTCAAAAATAAAGAAAAGGAAGAACAATATATATATATATATATATATATATATATATATATATATATATATATGTAATGATATAAGATTAAACAATAATTAGACTGAAACCAAGTTCACAAAGACTTTTCGATAGTACTAGTGGAAGACCTTACAAGAATCGCTTTGTCTTTGTTTTTTTAGTCAGTTATATAAGAAGCAGCGTTATAATAACATCGGATAATAAAACCATTGCTTCCGCTTCCATTATCATATAATACATATGCGTACATATTCTCAATTACAACAAAAGAAAGAAAGAACAATCAGCTATATATAATGATTTAAGATATATCAATAATTTAGTCAAAATCAAACGTATGTATAACTTCAGAATAAAGCTTTTTATGTGGGTATGATCGTATTCTAGGGTCGTGGATGTGTTCTAAGATTCGATGATGACTTCGTTTTGGTTCGAATCTTGAGGAAGAGGAAGATGACCTTTCTCTTGCAAGCTCTTGACAGATTCGTAAAGAGATTGCTTAATGGGTTTAAATTCCAAGCCTAAGTCTTTTATCTTTTGGGTAGTAAACTTGTATGGCTTAGCCCTCGGATTCTTCTCGTCCGAACACCTAGTAACATTAAAAAACAAAGTACATTGGTTAATCAGCAGAATACGAAATGTGAAAAGGATTTCTTGTATATCACTTTGAAGTAACGTATTAACTATAGAACTAATTTACTAAAGGAGACACACAAGTCATGAAACTAGTGACCAAATATTGGAGTAGGTAAAGAAAAAACATTCACACACTCCCGTGTTTGTCAAACGGTATTTGACCCTTCGCAAGAGTACACTTTTTTTGAGTTTTCAGTACAAACACATACCCAAACACGTGTACTATAAGATCTTGTAAGATCTCAACGTCAGCAGTAGGTGACAGATGACGTGGACTTTGTGATGTGAGAGTGAGTACACACCAATCTCACCACAAGCACAAGTGCTCATTTTTAAAACATATGGGAAATGGGACAACAGTCATAAGAATACCCCATAGGCCAATACCACTCATGCCCCTTTTATCCTAACTAATTTCTTTTTTACGTATAATTTTGAATAGATATGTTCAAGTAGTCATAAATTTTTTTGGCGTCTTAAAAACTAAACAGAAATAGTTTGTAAATCAAAGGTTGTATTTATTAGACCGACGAAATCGTGTTGACTTTGATATAATTTTGACCAAAGTGTCAAAGAGCCAAACAATGACTTACTTGGTGGGAAGTGGATACTCCGGGAAGAATTTAGCCAAAATATCAACAACCTCGCCGCGGTGAAGGGCGGTCTCGGCGAGGATGTAACGGCCTGAGGCGGAGGGTGCTTCGTAGACCATAACATGGGCTAGTGCCACGTCACGGACGTCCACGTAGACCTGAGTCAAGTTAGCGTAGGTCTTGGCTGAGCCGGTGAGGTACTTGAGAATATGGACTAGACTGGCGTTGATCGCTGACTGGAGCGGTGGTCCGAGAACCAAAACCGGATTTAGCACCACTAAGTCCACACCTTTTGCCTTCGCCGTCTCCCACGCGGATTGTTCCGCCACCATCTTCCCGTAGCAATACCAATTCTATAAGAAGAAAAAAAAAGAAACTTAGAATTCCAAAAGTAACCTGGTCTCCGTTTAAAGGCTAAAGACGTAGACCTTGTTACAGCCACATGTTCGATTTTATTACAGAAACTCTTTGTTAAGGAGTTAGGGCATCTCTAAAACTAGGTATAACAAAACTTAAATAGATAAAAGCATACCTTTGTGTTTTTGCAGAAATCGAGATCGCTCCAGCAGTTTTCGTCAACTATGGCTTGAGGGTCACGGTTAGGGTTCATGTAAACTGCACCAATTGATGATGTGAAAACCACGCGCTTGACCTTGGCTTTAGCCGCTGCGTCAATCACGAACTTGGCTCCGTTCACCGCCGGCTCCAACATTGTCTCCTAATTAGTTACATTAATTTAGAAAATTAATTAAAACTAAGAAAACAAAGAATAATACTAATACTCCTCACACCGATTAAAAAACATTATTTACTTACGGGATCATCGGTCATCGGAGAAGCGGTGTGGAAAACGCCATCGCAACCGTCGATTGTGGCACAGAGAGCTTCGTAGTCGAGAAGATCTGCACTGTGAAGAGTGAGTCTTTCTTTGGCTCCTTGAAGCTCTCTGAGATGATTGTTCTTGGGATCAGATGGGTTCCTTACGGTTCCTCTAACTGTGTAGCCTCTCTCTAAGAGTAACTTAACGATCCAAGAAGCAATGTAGCCGCCGGCTCCGGTGACGCAGACGAGTTTCCCGTCGACAGGCATTTTTTTCTTCTAGTAATGGAGCAAAGCCTCTTAATGGTTTAGAAGGTTATAGGGCTTAAGAGAGTAGTATGATATGAATATGATGTGTCGTTTTTGATTTGTATATATAGAGACTTCAAAAGAAGTTACAGTTTCTTTCTGTAATTACTTTGCCGTGTTTCACCTAACCATGGTAAAGACTAAAGAGTTGGTCAGTCTACATATGATAATTTTTTCTTTCTTAAAAGAACAAACTGAAAAACTTAGATTAATATATTTTTGTTCTGATTTATTGAAAGAGTATGGGTTTGGTAAATGAAGAATTATTGGGATTAATATTTTATTAAATTTATCTTAGAGCACTAGAGAAGTACATTAGTTTCAAAGTTTTAGGTGATAAGTGTAAATGCATTAAAAAGCCAAACAAAATGGTCAATTAAAGGTGTTGTGAATCTGACTTTTACATATTTATTTTTGCCAAATATATAACCTTAATGGTTTAACTTTTAACACTTCGAATACGAAATTGCTATTTAACATTAACAAAAACAAAACAAAATTCTAACCAATTAATGAGTTTATAAATCAAAATATATGGAGTTCTAGAAGACCTTGATAAAAAAGCTAGTAATCGTACGTATGCTCTTTTTTAAGATCTTCTATACAAAATCTATGAACAATGCTTTTTAAATTTTTTATTTGTTTCTCCTTAGTGTCATTCATTATCTTATTCTAAATTTTTATTTTTATATTTTCTTTAAAACCCCTTAAAAAAAAACAATTGGTGAGTAGTTGAGAAGATTGACCTTGACTTAAAATCTGGGCCCTAACTTTTTGCTAATAGGAAAGTTCCCCTGATCCTAAATCCGTATTTCAGTCTGTTAACCAAAGATTAATTTGATGTATCTTCATGATAAAGATTCGTATATATTTTGTTTTCAACAAAACAAAAGTTAAGTACAACATTATTGACCGTAAGATTTATATGCCTTTTGATAGTGAATTTCATAAAGATAAAAAGTTAAGAGAAAATTATATTATTTTCTAAGTGGTTAAAATATAAAAACTATAACTATATTCTGTTCAGTAAAACAACTATAATTGATTTTTAATATTTTTGATGAAAGTAATAAAAAATTAGATGCAGATAATGTTAAGCATAGTTGTATTTATTTTATTTAATAATGGAAAATAGAGTACTAAAACGCCTATAGTTGTATTTTTTTTTGCAAAGTCTTTTTCAAGCCATCTTTGAACAATGTTTCAAGTTAATACATCTATTGTTTAACATGGGGTTTAACAAGAGAGAAGAAGGATGATGATTATGTTTCAAGTCAATTATGATTGAAGTAATTTCTTTTTTTGGCAACTGATTTAAGTTATATTTTATGTTTGAGTATTAACTTATTTAATAGTACCTTTTTCGAGAATCAGAATATGTGGACAAGGATAGTGGTCTCTCATTCAAAGCCGTCGAGTCGAAGATGGTTGAATGTAAAATTTAGACAATTTCCAAGTGGTTTCTCTATCAGTAGTGTGAAGAATTCAAAGTCGCACGTTGTAAATGATTTTATAACCGACAGAGAAACGTGTGGGCTCATAACATGGTTTATACTTTATACTAGTATGTAACAACGAAAATGAATTACAAATGTGACAAACTCTCAAGACACAAACACTAACCAGGTGACATCTTCTATAATTTGGTTCAATAACAACAAATCTACTAAGAAAGAAAAACCAGAGCGTCTAAGCAGAAAGAATCTTTCTGAAATGGTTTTTGCTTACAATGCTTTAACTCTATATAACTCCTTCATGACTCTCTCTTCTCTTCGTCTTCATCTTCTTCTTTCTCAATCTCAGACAAGTTTGTGCTTGCCTCTTTATCATCAACCTCTTCTCTCTCTTCTTCTGCTTCATCATCCTCCATATCATCTACCTCTTCTCTCTCTTCTTCTGCTTCATCATCCTCCATATCATCTGTTTCTCTCCACTTTGGCTCTTCCTCTGACTCTGAGTCCTCTCCTTCACTCTCAACCTCCGAATTTGGATATTGTTTCTCTTCTTCCTTAGTTTCAGCTTCTACACCTTTGTCTTCGGATTTTTCTTGCTTCTCGCTACTATCATCTTCGAAATCCTCCTCTCTTCTGTCATCAGATTCAGCTTCTAGACTCACTTCCTGCTCTTCTGCTGTCCTGTCAGTTTCAGCATTCAACTCTTTTAACGATCTAAGATTCTTTCCTTCTCTTGTTTTTTCACCTTGTTTATTCAACTTTTTGCCACAACCCTTCTTCATAGGTGTTCTACTTGAGGATCTATCACCATCAATATACACGCCAATTCACTCAGAACAAGTAATCATCAAAATTACATATAAACAATAACTTGAACTTTAGTAAATTCTCACACACCTTACACCTGAGGAACTAGTCGGTTCCACAGACACTGCCAAGTTTTTGCTTTTCTTGACTCTCTGTCTCTGCATTCTGCAACATCATAAGATCCGGAAAAGACCATAAGAGATAAAGATTGAAACTTTACACAGATCACAGTAATGAACCGTTTTACTCACATGTCAGATAGAGGAATGGACTCCGGCAGATCAATCTCCTTATCCTGCTGATCGATTGTGGGAAAATCATTAAGCACGGCAATTACACTTTCCTCCAAAACAAAAAGAAGAACCTTGTACCTCATCGGCAGAAGTGTCATCCTCGAGCAACTCCCAACGTTCTTCAATGAGATTAAGCTCTTCTGAATCTCCATCAGAATATATTACCTGCAACCAGTGGGGGAACAAACATTCCATATCAATCATTTAAGAAACAAGCACGATTCTGATAGGAGGAACATAATTGAATAGCAGATCAGAGATATTCTCTCACCCGATGCATCTTCTTACGAGTACAATAAGAATCTATGACGCCTTCATAAAATCTGCACAGTGCAAGACCATCAACGGAAAAGCAAAGATTACAGTACACTTGGAAATAAGAACCTTCAAGTTTCCAGCCCACTTACCTCTTGTCGAGCGGCCACCAGATATTGACTCTCTTACCGACCAAATCCTCGCCAAAGCCATTCATATCAGACTCCTGAAAAGATGGAAATCCATATATCACATGGTAACAGATATGTGGCAGTCAATGTTAATAATGGGGAAAGAAGGTGACAAAGCTTATTATACCACTTCTTTTCTCGCTGTCCGTCTCCTTGTCGGATGGCTCTTTGGAGTTTCTTCAGATTCGTCTGCCAATTGTCTAGCTGCAACTTGAGAAACCATCTTCTGCACAGTTGATCCAAACGTGAAATTCAACAAAAAGTTTAACAGTTTATTTCAACAAGAGAAATCTATGATTGTCTTGCTTTCGACCTTTCTCTTAGATGATTGTGGAACAGGAGTATCTAGGGGTGCACGTTCTAAATTCCTTCTCTTAGAAACCGAGCGAGCTGATAGTCTCTTTCCACTGGAGTTTACAGTCTTAGCTTCTACAACTGGCTTCTTCTTGGCTGTTTTCTGACTCTTCTCTAAACCATTTTGGGACCTAGTCTTTTTGCTGGAGTTTCCAATCTTTCTGTCATCTTCTTCTTGGTTTGATTCTTCATCATCCCGGAAGCATGATGCCAATTTCTTCAATCTCGGTGAAGAAAGAGAATCAGAATCATAGTCACTCACATCCATCTTAACCCGGCTTCGTTTAAGTGACCCCGTCAGAGCCCTACTACTAGTGGCTGGGGAAGTTTCTTTAGGCAAAGGTGTTTTCTTGGCAGCCACCTTTCCAAGTGATGATTCTCCCCCAGATCCTTTTCTCTGGATCTTTTTGTTTGAAGACGTCTTTAAAGGATCTCTTTTTCCCGAAAGCCAAGAAATGTCATAATCCTCAGGATTCATTAAAGAATTGGGTTTCCGTCCTCTCTTCCCTGTAATTCCTAATTCTGTTTCTGCATCTGTACTTGCAGACCGCACTTGCTTCAGACTCTGTTTCAACAAACTAGAATTATTTCCGTTTCTAACTTTTTCCTTTTCATTGATTCGTCGAGTTCCATCTCTTGCAGGTCTCTTGGAACTACTTTTAGAAAGATTCTCCTTGCGAGAATGCCCCAAATCCAATTTCCCCTAGATCAAGGTATTTGGTTAAACAACACTATTAAAAGATGCTGAAACTCTACAAATGAAAAAGCTCGCCAAATATAATACCTCATGTTCTTTGGTGTTAATTATATTGTGGACTTTAGTAGTGTCAAAAACACTCTGGCATATGGACGAAACTACTGGAGAATACATATCCATGCTGGTCCCTGTAGACTTCAAAGCTTCGATGATGTATGGTTTAAGTTTACGTGCACATCTACTAAGAACCTTCTCCGCAAGACTCCAAGACATTGGTGAAACATTCTAAGACATGAGGAGAAGAAAAATCAAATCACATGTTAATTGACTGCGAGATAAATAAACTTGAAATAGGAAGAAACCTTACCTGATTTTCCTTTTTGACACTTGATAAGAGACTATCAAGCAAATCCGTGGACACTTCTTCGGTTTCATCTATTATTGCAATCATTATCATTTCCATTGACGAAAATACCACTTGAGGATGATCAGATCTGTTAGATATACACCCAAAAGAACCCCCATTCAGTCTATAATCTAAAGAGTTTCTCAAGTATTGTAAATAAGGTTTTGTATATCTAATCTACCTTATGATTTTCAAGAAGTTCCGAAACATTTGTAGAATGAGGTCATAGCATTCCAAGTCCAACATCACCAAACACGATTTGACCTTTGCAACATTATCAAGCACAAACTCGGCTTTCCTATAACTGCGGGAGGACGCATCAGCTAATTTCTCGAAAGCTTCTATTGTCAACCTGAAGATATCCTGTAATACCAAAGAAGTAGGAACCAACAGAAAATTAAAGACACAGAGAGAGAGATGAAATTGAATAGAGTGTTAGTGGAATTTGATTTACCTTCATTAGATCATCACTGTAAGGGGCTTCAGGGGCAGCAATCCTCACAATCTCGGTTAAGCAAGAGACAACTGAAACCCTAACATCAGAATCAGGATGGCTTAAAAGGTCAACAGATACCAAAGCATTCCTCGATGGAATTAGGGCGCTTTGCATTGATAATGGTTGATCTTGCTCCACATTTTTAAGCAGAGACTCAGTTTCCTACGCCAGAGAAGTTTCAATTAGAAATTCAACGAAAAAGGATTCGCCTTTAACCAAATTAACAAGTTAAATACCCCAGAAAAGTGGAAAACGCAACGAATTCAACAAAAAGCAACGAGATTTGATCAAACATATAAATAAAATCAACAATCAAGCTTTCCTTATCGGCAAGAAAGAGAAACCCTAATCGCATTTCGTGAATCCAACCTAGCAGAATCTATTCCACCAAACGCTACAAAGAAGGATAGCAAAAGCAACGATTTTGGTTGGAAGAAGAATCAGAGAAACTGTACATCGAGAAGAGTAAGAAGGTCGTCAGTTGAAGAAGGAGGGCTAAGAAGATTCTTTCCAGCATCGATGAGTGCTTTCGAAATATGGTCAAATCCAACAATAGCAGTCATTTGTTCTTCTTCCCCAAACAATCTCAAACTTCAAAACCCTAAAAAAAAAACGTAATCAAACAAACTGTGCCAAAAAAAACCCTGTAGTTGACGGCATCGCTTCAAATCCTCAAGGTCAGAGCAAGAAAAAGGAGAGAGCTTTCGGGTGATTCTGAGGTTAAGCGGTGTGGTTAAACATGCAAAAATCACTTATATATATATATTACTAATTACAAAATTAGAATCATCTCCAAAAGGTAAAGAAGGGACACAAATTTTGGAAATTTAGGTTTTCATTTTTTTCTTAAATTTTCAGTGAACATCTAGATTGTGTTGAATCATAAATTTGTTTCCATAATTATTCTTCATTTTGTTTAGGTATATGCACAGATTCGGTGGAGTAAGAATGAAGCAGAGCCAAAAATGTAAAAAAGTTTACTTTTTCGATAACACATGTTCCCGCCTTCTTAACCGTGAAAGTGTAAGACCAATTTTGTTACTTGATACGAATAATAATAATTTGATTTATAGAAAGAAGCTAAATTTTATAAAGAGAGTTCTGAAAATGCAAATCGTGATGAGTCTTGGAAGACTAGAGCCTTACATAACTTATGGATCCAAACAAATTCCGAGAGCAATCCTCTAAACAAGAAGAAACACACAACAAGGGGAAACAAAGCAAATTTTATCTAATCTTGCTTTTAGTGAGATTCAAGATGCTTCTTCACGATGTTGAGTGCAGTTGTTTCCTCTCCGTAATCCTGCAACAAGCAAAAGCAATCATTCAATCACAGAGACCCACAAGTGTGATGACCAGACACAGAACAAGAGAGTCTATACTAAGTTAAGGAGATTTGAGTATGTGGCCTTTCTTTACCTTAATTACAACACAAGAACATCCAACCACTTTCCTAGCATTGCCTTCTGAATCGATCTTGCAGAGCTGTCACCACATAGTACATTGGTCATTACAAGCATCTAACTTTAAGGAGAGAAAACCCAAGAAAGAATATCACAAGACAAACTTAACAAGCTAGAAAACACAAGACTTACACCAGCCCATTCACCAAGGGTCTTGGCACTTGGAACGGTAAGCAAATTGATGCTATGATCTGCACACAGAGCTTTAACAAGCTTGACATAATCAGGTTGGTTGCAGTCTTCGGCCAAAACACAGAGCTGGGCAACACGCTTCTCAATGAGCTTAGCACTTTCATGAAGACCTTTGGTCACACCACCGTGAGCAAGTGACTTCCTAAGGGTCAGCTCCAATGCAGTCATCAGATCCATGTCCTCTGGAATAGCAGCTGGCTCAACAACAGGAGGAACAACAGGAGCAGCCTCATCGCTTCAAACAGCAAATTATATAACTCATTAGAACAGAAAGGCAAATAAACATGAACTTTTACCTGTTATAGTGGTCAGTTTTGAAAAAGGATCCACTTGCATTGTGAAGTTATGATCAAAGAAAACAGTATATAAACACAAGAAGACCAGACACTAACATACAAGACAGAGAGAACTATTAGCTAGATGAAATGACAAATGCATATATAGGACGATCCAATGTAAGCAGAGTAAAATTCGAAAACAAAACTGTGAACTCAAAATCTTGAACTTTCAATTGCCAACAGACAACAACATTCAATCTAATATAAAAAAAAAAAATCAAATGAAATGAAAATCAAAAACCCAGAAAAATCCCTCCAAGTAGGATGTATCAATAGCCAATTCAGCAGATTCAGAAATAGAAATTGAGAACAATGATCCAATAAAAAAACAAAAAAGACTTACCCAGACATGTTTCCTATTTGAATGCGTTTAGGATCAGAAAGAAATCCGATTTTTTTTTTTTTTTTTTGTTACCGAAATTGGCTGTTTAAAGAAATCCGATTTATCTGCGAGTAAAAGGGCCAATGTTAGTTTCACAAGGCAAAGCTTAAATCGAAAAATAAGTGAGAGTCGGCGCGAAAGAAAAATCTTCGCGAAATTGAGTTTCAGAATCAGAACTGTCGGAGAAGAGGAGTGAAGAGAACTAACCCTCAGATGATGGCTGCGCGAAGAAAAAAACTTTACATCTTTTTTTTATATATGATTGCAGCTTATTGGGCCTGTGTTTAATAGCAATAGTGGGCCTTTCATTAAGCCCACGATATCCGTACGGTACGGAACATACAAAAACATATTATTTGCCAGGCTCATAGTGCAACTTCAAATAATTATGATCACATAACTTCAGATAGTTTTAAGGAAATTAGTATAGACAAAAATCACCGTGAGACAGAAAAGCCCCAACACTTTACAAAACATATAAACAGGTCTTCAATTTATTAATGGCATAATTAAACGGTTAAAAGTTTGAAACCAACGACCAGATTTTTCTTTCTCCTGCAGTATCTGTTTCCTGCAACACAAGAACACAACCACTTGGTTTCAACTTTCAATAATACTCTTTACAAGTTCAAATCAATATGACCATATCCTAAACCAGCTGAAAATCCCTAGTTGATGTGTGTTCATTCTTAAACAATAAGAATTTTATTTGCAAGTTATGACACAAAACGACTCTGTAGACTCTACTCATGCATAAGCAAATCTATGTCAAGCCTAAGATTCTTTGTGTACCCGAGCTCAATGAGAAGACAATACTACAAAGTACTAACTTAAGGAACAAAATAGTGATTACCTTTTAGGGTCGTTTGCGTTTGAGAGTTTTGATCTGCTGTGTCATGTAATCAATCACTTCTTTCAGTGTGGCTTTTCTTCCTTGCTTCGAATTCCACAGTACTGGGACTGAGTACCGGCCACTAGGATTAAACTCATTAAGCTCCTCCAGTGCTGTCTTCACTGCATTCTTCACTTCTTCTCCCCACTCTTCTCTCAGATTCTTAATTTGCTCATCTTCTTCATCCACCACTTCCTACACCATTTCCATATAAACAACACCATCACTACTAGTTCACCAGAATAAATGCTAATGAAGTGGCACAGAGGGCCAGTATGAAAGAATCTCCATTGTAACATGAGGCATAAACAAACCTTCTTTTTGTCTCCAGTCCCCACATGTTTGAATGGGTGCCACGCTGGATCCTTGAGGTTTTCCTGCCATTTAGAGCAAAGCATGGCATACTGCACCTGAGCTTCTTCAACTGTGAATCTCTGCTTGCATGCTGTCATGAAGGGCTTTTCCTCAAGTTCTCCTATCCTCTTTACTCTGATGATGGTTCGATCACTCAACAATTCTCTCAATTCCTGAAAAAACCCAAAACATGTAAACAAATTAATCACTCACAGCTCAGGTTCCACAATGGCTGTTGGAACTATTCACAGATCCTGGACTATATATCAGGGTGAGCATCTGTGATGCTGTTTAACAGAATCCTAAAGCAGTTGGGAAATCACCCTTGTGGCCTTGTGCATCCTCATCATACAGATTTCTCGACCGATTGCGTTTGACCATGTCACCAACATTTCACTCTTGCATATTATACTAGCACCCAAGAACATGGAAGCATTTAAAATATATTACCGTAGTCAAAAATTCGCGTGCTTCTAGTATCTCATCATTGCTTTGACGTTCTTTTACCATGAGAGCCGAGTTAGTTTCCTCTAGATCTTGTAACTCAGAACACTTGTACTCTAGCTGTTCCTTCATCTCCTTCATTTTCTTCTTGATGTCCTCGTCATCTTCATCCTCATGCTTCATGACTTTCAGCTTTCCTTTCAGCTCCTGAATCTCCATTTGAAGTTTCTGCTTACTGTCTAACTCCTTCTCAAGCTGAAGGATCTTGTTCAACGTCTCTTCTTTTTTCCTCTGGAGTTCAGAAAGAAGAAAGTTGGAATCTTTAAATACAAACAAGAAAAATGTTTTTTTGGAACTTGACACACACAGATAGATCTAGTTTGACCATTTACTGAAAACAGACCTTGTGCTCTTCCACAAGTCTCAAGACACGATCATCTGTCTTTTTCTGCTCCTGTGAAGCCAACTGGAGGGAGCTGTTCATGACATCGCTCTGCCATAACAAGGGGAAAACAAAAAGATCATCAGTACCCTGGAAAACATCAACGCATAAGTAAACTATAATGACAAAATATTACCTTCTTCTTGTCCTCATCAAGCTTTTGTCTCTCCAGTTCAGTTAGTGCTTGCTTCTTGTCCAATTGTTTGGACCAAACCTTCAGATTATTCATCTTAGCCTCCAGTTCATTGGTTAGCCTCTCCTTTTCTCTAAAGATCCTGTTGATATTCTCCCGCGAAAACTCCTGCATTTTTTTTGTTTCTGGAGAGAAAAGTACAGAGACGAGTCAAAGGCATAAACTCGAATGCAGCCAGGGTGAAACATAAGCAATCAATTTTCAGTACAAACCTTCTTTATAAAGTTGGTCCAGCTCGTCTTTCTCTATAAGAACCCTGCGCAGAGAGATCGCGTTCTCATTGCACTTGTACTGGACCTTGTTCAGATCCTCATTTTTCTTAGCAATTTTATTTGCTAGATCATCCACCACAATATTCTTATTCTGAATTTCCTCCTTGGAGATATCAGAGAAACTTCTCAGTTTTCCTACTTTGGACAGGTACTCTGCTATCAACCCTTGAGAGTTGTAGTCATCCGCGCGTGCGCACCAACCATAAGCCTTAGACCTCCAGTCTCCTCTTTTATCAATCCAGTCCTTTCTGCCGCAGCCCCTAATCTCATATTCCTTCTCAAGCTCTGTGGCACTCTTAAACCCACTCCAACCACTGTTAAACTGAGGAATGACGGCAACTACAGAATCCTGCTCAAGCCAAAGGGTTTTCACTTCAAGGGGATTGAATCTGGCGAGCTTCCTCAACCAGTAGGCTGAATCAAGGAGCACATTCTTGTTATCAGTTCTTCTTACCGGGTCGAAGACAATCCCCATCCAAGGCCAGACATAAATGTCATCCACAACTAGTTGAGACTGCTTCGATGAGGACGAGGGAATTTGTGGGCGTGGGACATCAGCATCACCAGCAAGCTCGTTCTCCATGTACTTTGCCAATGCAAAGTGATTAGCTTTTTGCTTAGCACTTCTACTCGAAGATCCTTTGGCAACACCAGACGCATGAGCAAGTAGCTCCTTATACTTGTAATGCTGCTTCTTCTTCCCAGAACAAAAGGGGCACCTGAATGTGTCCTTCACCTTAACCTTGTACTCCCCATTCTTCAGTAGCTCGTAAGGTTTTACATAATAGACATCAATCTCAGACTCACTGATCTCTGACTCTTCATCAGAACTGTTATCCATCCTAGTAGGTGGCCTGTAACACCGAGTTTTCACCTGATTTACAGGATTAGTTGACAAAGGACAGATATAAGAAACAAAACAGGTTCTGCAGGGAGAATTATAAGACTCATATTAGAATAGAAATTAAGCAACTAAGAGTGGACTTTATACGCAAAACATAACAAATAGAACCATTAGATAGATGAACAGGCAAAAGCACATATGAAAAAGACCAAACGAAACCATAGTAAAATTTTGGCAACAAAGATATAAGTAATCAAGCTTCAACTGCTAACGAACAATGTCAAACAACTAGTTGATGCGTTTAATACAGACGTTACAATTTTGCAAACCCCAGGAAAAGAAAAAAAAAACCTAGAACGCTATATCCTTCAACAAATCAGCAGATTCGCAACTAGTAAATAAGAGAAATAGCCCAGAAACACCATAAAAACTTACCCACAAACACGTTCTTTGAAGAATGCCTTTACGATCAGAAGAAATTCTCTTTTTATCTGCGAGTAAACGAGCCAAATGTTAGTCTCACATGGAAATACCTAAATCGAAAACACCAACGAGAGCCGGCGCGTAAGACAAAAATTCAACAATCACATAGAAACCCGAAACGCAGTAATGTCGCGAAAATGAACTTGGGAATGGGAATCGTCGGAGAAGAAGAGTGTGAAGTCACTAACCTCAGATGATAATGACCGAAGCTTGCGCGAAGAAGAGACTTAAGATCATTAAATACTAACTAAACACTGATTGCAATTTAATGGCCCTACCTTATAGCAGTAGTGGGCCTTACATGAGGCCCACGAAAACATCATCCATACAGTAACCAACATTTTTCCCGTTATTTTCCAACGCTACGCTACGGAGGGGTGCTCGCATGTTAAAAAAGTTAGAGCCTTTTATTTTCAAAACAGTTCAACTTCAGACAATTGTGATCACACCTCTTCATTTTTATGTTTCAATTTCAATTATTTTGAATCTAGATTCTAATGTTTAGAGTTATAAGTATGTGATCATGCATACCCGCATTCTTATAAAAGCAAAGAAGAGAAACAGTTTTTAAGGAATTTTTATTTCATTTCTTTTTTAGATAGCAACCTGACCATTTTCAACACCTAATCCATACAAAACACCAGAATATTTCTGCAACGGACCAACGAAGAAATTCTCCTTGAGCTTTCTGAAAGTACATGACGTTAGTAAACTATCCGAACCAGCTTGGTGACAGATCCCAACTCTCTCCACTTCAAGCAACTCCGCAAGCTTGTTCAGACCACCGTGAAGGCTGTTGCAGAACTTCATCAGGTGTTTAATGTCATACACCGTCGGAAAATAAACATTGATCAGCTTGAAGAAGTCTGTTTGCGAATCCGGCAGGTTTTGGCAAGTCAAGAGCTTTAGCAAGTATCCGAAATCGTATCCACTGTGAAATGTAACCCAATGCACGTTTTCGTTCAGCACAATCCCTGAGGACATTAAGAGCTCTGCGAATCTCTTGGAGTCGATCCCGTCTTGCGTGTTTTTCGCTAAGTCGATGCCCGATTGTTTGAGAAGCTCGATGGAATCGAGAGCGAAGATATCGGAATTGACATCGAATTCTCGGAAATTGAATTGCCAGATGCAATACTTGCCTGTTCCACAGGTTGGGAGGTTGCCTTGTTCATTGGAGAAAGTGAGGCCAAGCTGGATCATCTTGAGGATGTTGACGTTCGTCTTCAGGGTTTCGTAGTGGTAATCAGCGTTGGATTTGAATGTTCCGACAGGTCGAACGACGATTCCGGGGAACTCAGTATCCATGGCGACGTAAGGGAAATCGTCGACGACATCTCGGATCAGATCCATTTCTTCTTCAAGGTTATCGTTCCATACTTCGCGAATTTGAATCGAATCGTCTTTCAGAAACAGAGACATGTCTATGAATGACGAGTTTGGTGAGCATCTGGATTGATGATGATAATGATGATAAGACGGTGATAATCAAAAACCTAGAACGGATCTAGAGGTAGACCCGATCTGGTTTCATCAAATCTGCGGTAAAATCAAACACCAACAAAGCAAAATCGAATATTCAATTTCAACAAATCCACCCAGAAATCACGACGAAAACCAAAATTGAACACAGTAATTGACATAAGAAGGCGGTGATAGATCGAACCTGATAAACAAAGCCGAGGTAGATGGACGTTTCTAGAGACGGCGGCGATTGTCGTGGCTAGGGTTTCAGAGGATGTGGTGGTTTATCGAAAACGAAAATGGAAGGAGAGAAGAAGAGATAATATTATTATCGATTTTGTCTTTTCTAATTTTTTTTTAATATTTTTCTCTGTTCTGAATCCGATATTTTTTTGTTCTCCACAAGTTTTCTTGTTTCTGTGTACTTGTGACAATTTCTAATTCTTATTACTATCGTTCCTTTTTTTGTGTGTCACAATTTGGCAACATTTTCCTCTCTTCTTCTTTTTTAATCTAATCCTGCATTATTGCTAAAACAAATATATATGCGTACCAAAACAAATATTAATGGGAGATTATTCAGATTTACCATACTAAAAAATTTCGATCTTGAAATATTTAGTTTGAAAAGATTGGAAGAAAAGTACATCAGAAACATTTGATGGTGAGGTCCCATTGATCTTTCGTTTTAAGTGCTTGTAGCTTGACCACAGCCGTTTCTATCTCCAACTTCTTTCTTGCAGGAAACGATGTCATCTTGATCATCATCTTTTTTACCACCATCCTTTGCCTAATCAAACAAGACGCCAAGGCAAACTCTTCCTCTGAACCGCTGAAGTTATACATCCACACAGAATCCACGCGGAATTTAGCATTGTGGAACCAATCTTTCTTATTATTCTCCTCCCACAACTTGTTCGGTGAGGACTCACCTTCTTCCCTAGGAGCATTGTTCTTATCCACATAACAACAACGTATATAAATTATGTTTAGTTAGCCCAAAAATATTCGTGACTCGTCAACACAAAAGCATGAGATGTAACATACCTTAAAAAAGATCTCAAGCTTTGCCATTGTAAAACTCCATAGAAGTAAGACTTGTCTTAACCTCTCAACTTCTCTACGATTCATTAAATCTACACTCACTGACAAGGATGCAGGAAGGCGTACTCTCAACAACTCACCACATGTGTTAACCACAAATTCTCCATGCCCAATGCAATTTTCCTCCTTAATCATACATCAAACACCATTACTTACTTCTGTATATATCTAAATACTTTTTTTGACAACACATGTAACAATATACCTGTGATATATTGTAGCTGATGTGAGGCAAGCATGTCCTTTTATAGTCTCTACTAAACTGGAGTCGAGGGGACGTGAGGACAAAGTTATATCTTCCATAGGAGAGAATTTCATCGATGGCGAGAATATGCAAACTAGGTGATGACACTTGAATGCCATCAATATCATTGCAAAATGACACTTTCAAGAGCTTTAATCTCTTGTTTCCAATCTTCAAATGACCATTTCTTTTTTGGAAAGTGATGTGTAGTACAAGCACCTCTAGGGAAGGGCAAGATGCGAGGACTCTGTTAAAGACTCCAACATCGGGGGCCATCATACATGAGAGTTTGAGGGTCTTGAGAATTTTGCAGTTGTTGAAGGAATGCGATGTTCTGAATATGTATGTAGATAGCGAGAGTGATGTGAGGCCTAGATATGAGAATGAGTTTGGGGGAAAGTCGATAGATCCTCCACAGTTCGTTAGTTTAAGATGATGTCTAAGTGTGAGATGCTTGGTCTGCCTTGCACCAGTGAGTGACTGAATCCAAGTATTCAGCATCCCATCTGTGTAATGGTCGATTACGCAGCTTTCTAGATGTCCGCGGTGATTGTTTATAATCTTGAGAAAATTATTTAAGACATGGATAAGAAGTTTTGAAAAAACAAGAGAGGAACAAGAAGAGAATTTGAAAGAAGGAAACCTTGGTCATCAATGTCGCAACCAGCTTCGAAACCTCTGGCGTATATTTAGAACTGGCAATCTTCTTTCGCATGTCCAAAACTAAATGAGACATGTGCTTCCATACATGTTCCCATCTTTTGGACACAACGCTGGTCCTTACAGCTTCATCTGTGGACAGTCTCGATAAGATCATGAGCAATAAATCATTGGGGAGTTTGCTGATCCAATCAACATTTTCGACCGGAACTGATGGTGATGATAATCTCTCCATATTTTATTGGTATCCGTCCCAGTAGGTGGCCTGTAACAAAGAGCTTACACCATATTCAATAACAAAAGAAGCTAAACAACCAAAATGAAGCATCAAAGGACGCTTAGAGAAACATCACAAATAAGGTTGGAGAAAAATCAAATCGTAGAAAGTATAAATGCAATTTGCGTGTATGGAATGAGAGACGGCAGAAATCAAGTTCGAAAGTTTTAAGCTGGAAACAAAGAATATGACAAAACCCTAAAACTTACGTGAGACTACTTTTCACACAAATTATCGAGTTTATAAACGTCCGAAGATGTAGCAGAAACACTTGCCGTTATTCTTAAGGGATTAAGGTTTATTTCTCAAGTTCCTTTAATACCTAGTTTATTTTATTTTAATACAATCATCAATGGTTTATAATTTGATATATGATGCATTAACGATTTAATCCTATTTTTAAGAATTATAATATCAAAAGAGACATCAATAAGAACATGCTAAAAATGGGTAAAATCTCTATCTAACAAGTACCAACACTTTGATCAATTTTTTCTCCACTTTTGATCTTCTCCATCTCATTACTCAGTACTTCCTTTACTTTGCTCTTTAGCTGCAAGCCATGTAGAGAAACAGACCACTCAAAACACACTCTTACTTTCTTTAGACATCAAATATTTCTGGTAAGATTCATACCTCATTGAGACCTTGTTCTGTTTTCACCGAGACATGAATTGATTCATCAGGTCCTGTTTCTCTGTACTTAATGATTTCCGCATCATCACTGCTTCTATCTTCTTTCGCATACATCACCGGTGAGCCTCCCAGCAGATCACATTTGGACACAGCATCAATCCACAGGTAATCCTTAAACCTCTCTTTCATCTCCTTATAAATTCGAAACTGCAATGCCCTCACAACAAATATATAACTGTATCAGGAAATATCAAATCCAATTATTTGGCTCACACACATGCTTTGTATTCTTTAGACCCAATAATGCCAAATGACATAACAGTGCACATTTTACAAATTCTTGTGCTTCCTTTGGCACATCTGATGCAATGAAATCCATAAGGATTTGTTTCTTACTATATACCTGATCAGAAGGAGAAGTCCCACATTCTCCAGTTAGATCATGAACATATAGAACCGCAGTTGGAAGATGAGTGAGTACAGCAAGAGTTAACTTCTCTAGATTGTTCCTATCCTCTGTTATGACCAAAAATACAACAATCAAGACTTAATCAAACATCAAAAAATTATTCTTCCACAAGAGAGTTCGTAGCAACTAGACTTTACCATCACATCTCCTAAGAAGGCCAGGGGTGTCTGTAACCTGCAATGCGTTTCTGGATGATTAAATAATCTAAATCATGAGGAAGATGATTAGCTGCAGCAAAGTAAGTAATGTAACCTGAAATCGTTGGTAGTTTAAAACGATGTGACCCATCAGAATTCCTCTGGTTGTGAAAGGATAATTGCAAATCTGACAAACCAAAAAATTATAAGCACTAGACAATGCAAGTTAATATCACATTATAGAGATAGAGATTGGGACATATGGCAGACCTCAGGCTTCCCTGTTGAAAGAATGCGGACCAACGATGATTTGCCAACGTTTGGTGCTCCGACAAGGCAAAGAGTCGGCATTTCCAAGTCAACAACTGGCATAGCTCTCAAAACCTGCAAAATGTGTAGCTCTTTTCATACATACAGATCTGATAATTAAGTCGAAAGGGTCAAACCGCTGGAAGAGAAAAGCAAATGAATCATAGCAAGGAACCTTCGCTATACTTAGCAAATCATCAACAGCTCTCCCTTGTTGTTGGAAAACCAGTTCAAGCTTCTCCACCCCTTCGTTCAAGCGTTCCTCTGCTTCTTTCTTTGACAAAGCCTGCAAAGAAATTGAAAGATGTTTAACTTTTCCTATACTGATATATGATAGAATAAGATGGAACAATGGGATCTGTATGAAGCGTATAAGGCCTTTTACTGATGCAGTACCAATCACAATTTACAGTATATGAGATCAACTAAAATGAAATATACAATATGCTTTTGACATAATCGAGGAGTCTGACCTTAGCGCAGAGAGAAGCATGTTCCTTTCCAACAGATAGCACCTTTTTCCTCAGAACATCAACTTTTCCTAACACCTAAAAACTTAATTTATAAGCCTACGCTAAAATCAGTTGCAGGCTAAGATGCTGAATAACTTAGAGGGGATGCAAAATAGATACCTCTTCATACTTTCCATCACCAAGTGTCAAGTCAATAAGAGACCTTTCATATGGATGCAAGAGTCTCTTCCTCGGAAAACTTTCCATGTATCCTTTTAAAGGAAGAGCCAGTTCCTTAAACACAAAGCAATTTCAGAGTTGGTAAGACAACTAACATTTCAGAGTTTCAATTGAAAACACAGCGAAGGATATTACTTTCATGAATGCATCAAGCTGTTTAGCACCTCTATTTCTTTCTCGCTTTGCAATATTAGCAATGCCTGAGACCAAAAATGGACAAAGACTCTGTTAAAGAGTTTGAAGAAGTTAAACTAGTGTGAAGAAAAACAATAAGATAATGAATCAATTAACCTTTAGTTGGTTGGACTCTTTTGGACTTCCTGAGAGCAGAGCAATATAAATCAATAGATGGCATCACCATGGGCAGTTTTTGAAAAGCACCCAAACCTTCCTGCACTGGTGGCGATTGTTTTTCCTGCAAACCAAATCCAAATTCGTCGTAATCAAAACTTTCCCCACAAATTTGAAACCCAAAGCTCGAGACTTGTGAGTAAACAAGGGTTCTAAAGGGGAATATATATTACAGGGGAGGTAGGGATTTCAATCTGCTTCTGAGTGATGTAGGAAGTGGGCAAGTAGCTTGAACTGACGATTGGAGAAACAGCCGTCTGAAGATTCCGACAGTGACGCAAAGTTGGTGACCAGAAAGTGTGAGACTTTGTGGTGTTGGCTGAAGAAGATTGAGAGTGGTGTTGGCTGAAGAAGATTGAGAGAGGTAAGAGGATGAGAAAAACGAGACCATGGATGGCAAAATGAGAGCTTGTAGAGAAAGCTGTGGTGATGTTAAGAGACGCCATTGATGAGGAACCAAGCTCGAGGCCAGTTTCATCGTGTTTCTGAGTTCCGAACGAGAAAGATAAAAACTTTAATACAAGAAGACAGCAACAAAAACGATCTAATCCAAGACCCCTGGCTTGACGACTTTTCTAATGGGCTTTGACGCCATCGTCATCATTTGTGATTTTAAACTAGAAAAGCCCTAACTTTACCTTGTGTAAAAAGTTGCAAAAGAGTCAGATTGTTAAATACTGAAATTTCCGGCGTAAATTAACAAAATTTCTTCTTCTTCGGGTGATTCAGTGAACAATATCTTTGTATGGTTCACGAAATCGAGATTCGAGACTATCCAGTTTCTTGTAGATCTCTCATTGTAGTGAGTCGCAACACTAGATTCTTCTCGAGTTCGTTCCAACCGCTTCAATCGCCTCGACCGCAAATTCCAAAAAAATGGAGCGTTTGAGATTAGTGAGTGGATTCAATGGTTTACCGGACCAGACATCGAATTATGGTTTGATCAGTTCAACCAACTGGTCGAAAACAGTAACTGCGTGAAACTAACGCCCAGCCTCGTCCTCGTCCATAAGTTTATTGGGCCGACGCAATATGTGAATTAACGGGCCTCATATTGGTCCACTACATCGCCTACCATATCTGGTAATTTAAACGTTACACGTAACTTTTTAATTAAAAGACGTTACACGTAACTTAACTACTTGTCATTTTTGAGCTCGTGAGTTTTGGAAAAACATTATATGTTGTTTAGAAAAAAGATGTAAAGAAACTTCAATTTTCTAAGAATGCCAACTAAGAGAATTAATACTCTCCTATTGAGTGAGAGTAAACATCCCAAAACATGAGAAATCTTGATGGTAGCTTGTCCGTTTGGTAATATTTCAGAAACAAACTTCAACCTTGTCGTGTTTGTTCCCAACATTCTCTCCTTAAGTAAAGAAGCTTCGGATTCTGGAAAGCTTCAGTTGTATCCGAACACCGAGCCTCTGCCACGAATGATCTTTGCCGGCCGGCGACAGCTCACCGTTAGCCGCACATTTTCTGGTGTTACTTAATATGTTGGGCCTATATAATGTGAACCAATGTGCCTCATATTGGGCCTAAAACCATTTCTGGTGGTACTTAAAACGATACCGTTTCTTGGTTATAAATAGCATCTAATAAGTCAGATGTCAAATCTAAACAGAAGAAAAGTTTTATTGGAAAACAAAAAGTCATTATGAAATCTTATTCGAAACGATACGACTTCTTACTTGTCAGGCTTGCTTTAATTAAAACTTTGTGTGGCTCAAGATCACAATCTTGGAAGTAGATTTTTACTCGTTCATGAAATAACTTCCTTCGTTTATTCGTACATGCACTAGAAAAAGATGATGAAGCATGTGGAGGACGGAGATGATGAGGAGGCAAAGAAGAAAATGAAAGAGTTGAATGAAAAGCTAGAGGAGAAGTGTTCTGAGCTAAAAGAAGTAGAGATTAGGAACACGATACTGGTCATAAAAGAACGTCGACGCAGTGAGAGGAGATAGAAGAAGCATGTGGTTACGGTATATATAATTGATGTTCTAGAGAGTGTTGGCATGGTTTGCTTGTGTTCACGGCTCTGTTTTTTGTTATGATGAACAGGGATTGAGAGAGATATCGGATGATCGAACGTCGATTGGAGTAAAGAGGTTGGGAGAAATGGATGTGAAGCCGTTCTTGAATGTGTGCAACCAGAGATTCACTGGTGACGAAGTTTATGTTCAGTTTGCTATGCTTTAATTATTCGAAATGGCAACATAACATAAATGATCTATCATGGGTACCGTTCAAAGTGTTGGAGGACGAAGACGGTTCAAAGGTTTGTTTACGTCTCCTCTTTTTAATTCCCACCACTGTCTTAACATTCGGTTCTTTTTTTTTGTTTCATACATATATGTGAGTTATATCGGTTCAGTTTGGTTTTTCTTTCTACTACTAATTAAACATTTCTTTTTATCTCATTTTGACAAGCAGGAAGTTGTAGATGAAGAAGATGAGAAACTCGTGAAATTGAGAGATGAGTGGGGAGAAGAAGTGAAAAGCGCAGTTAAGAGAGCACTGGAGGAGTTTAATGAGTTTAATCCAAGTGATAGGTACTCAGTCCCGACACTTTGGAATTTCAAACAAGGAAGAAAAGCTACACTTAAAGAAGGGATTACGTACTTGTTACACGAGATCAAATCCCTCAAACGCAAACGAACTGAATAAGTTATATGACTTTTGTAAAGAGAATTGGAATATTAGTCGGTGTTTCTAATCCTTTTGTATCTCCAAATTAAGCTAGCTCAACTCATGGAACGTTGTTTTTTGACATTCTGGTGTAGTTAATTCAAATATTATATTTTTACGTGTAAGTTTTAATCTTAACAAAAATATTCAAAACTTTTGAATTCGACCTTGTCACACTAAGAATTTGTTTGAATACAAGTTGGTCAGCTGATTTACCTTCCATTCGCGTAAAACATTCAGTAAATTAAATGATTAAGCTTGAAATATTTTCGTGCTAGTTAATCAATCTTTTTACCATGTGCTACAGTATATAGCATCTAATCGTTGACAACAAGTCTCAATGAAATAAAATTTCCCCAAAATAAGTAATGCAGGAACAAGCTTAATTGGAAACCAAAAAAAAATCATTTGAAAAATGAAAGCAATAATGGCGTCACACAAAAATTGTGTTTATTGTTTGACACGACTATTATCACGCTCACTTTTATTGTGTGGTTCAGTAGCAATCTTGGGACGAGTATATCAAACTCCTGATGAGTTGTGAATAGCTTTTGCTTTATTTTTTTCCGATTACATCAACTTAGAAAATAGTCTCTGTTTTTTTCTAAATTTTATGCAACACGATAACCCGTTTTCAAATAATTAGGACCGGCCACATTATGATTTCATACAGTATTTTCTACACACTATACTATACATTATTCAAATTATGATTCAAACAAAGGAAACTCCAATCTACACTTTTGAATATATACATATAAAAATATATTGGTACAAGTAAATGATATCCTTCATAAACGCTAATTTAAAACATCATGTCAAATTATGGTTAACCCAACAAAAGAATAAAAACTTTTTGAAAAACAAAAAGGAAAAGAAGACAAAATAAGACTCAACGAAAACAGTGAAGTGAGCCAGCTATTTTATTTATGATAATTAATAATGATATACTTGTAAAACTAATTAAGAAGAAAATGGAATAAAGTTGACCAATTCATGGTAGCCACGATTAGTGAGGGACAAAATAATTTGGACCGGACTTTTGACAATTTTATTCGACCCTACAACATTTCTATTTACACTCCTCCCCTTTACTCTTAGATACATCCCCTTCAAAATCATTATCATTTCTTTTACATTTATTTATTTTTCGTAAGTTTTTTTTACCATCTATCTTTTATATGCAAAAAAAAAAAAAAAATTGTATAGTCGCTAAGACTGAGCATGATTATCAAGGGTATTTTATAAATTGTTCTTAAGAATATTAAAGTAATAAATTTAAAAATAGCTCTAAAAATGGTTTTAAGTGTGTATTTGTTTCTTAGGTAAGCAACTCACCTTAGTTTTAAAGCTTATTTGGAAATTAATTTTAATCATTTAATTGCTAAGATCATTTTTAAAAAATCTTAAGATCCTCTTGTTAATCATGGTCTTGTTAATAAAACCACATGCACATAAAATTTATGATTTATATTGTCGAAGATATTGCAAGCATTGTGCTTATAAAAGTAACTAATCAGACTTGAGTAATCTTTTTACGACGAAGTCAGTGGTTAACTAAATTTCATCCAAATTAAATGTAAGAAATCTCAAAGTTAAGTCTAAGAATCATCTTTACAGTAATTTTAGTTCCTACAGCTTTTTAATTTTTTTTTGGTTGTAGTAGCTTCTTGCCCCGAAGCCTCTGTATATAACAATGTTCTTTTTGGTAGTATAAATTCACATTTTATCAAAAAAAGGTAAAAACAAATCACAGTTACTATCTCTGTAATGCCCCGCGATGTGACATGGGGCTTTAGAACAAACAGTCGATTCACGTCTTTTAAACGGTCCTGATTTGTTGCTCCACTTCCAACAATCTCTACTTCACCACCACACGCATAACGCATTCATAATCATACATTCAGGCCCGTCTCTGGGGATGGCATACTAGGCTAATGCCTAGGGTTCATTGTTAATTTCATAAAATTTCTTAAGACTAAAAAGCCCAATTTTTTCAAAAAAAAAAATTTAGTAAAAAATTTTATTTTATTTTGAGTTTTGCCATGGGCCCGATGATGAATCGAGACGGGACTGCATACATTCTCATGATTTATTGTTTTGTTTCGATTATATCTGCGTACTCAATGTTACCAAATTTATATTCTATGACATAATGTGATTTAACTTCAAGGGAATGGACGAAATTTAAATGACTATCTTAGTCTTAGGAGGTATATATTCTCCGGATATATAGACCTCTTATCTATATCTACACATATTTTTTTTTATTTAAACCGAGACCACTCATTCCTGATTCCATAAAACTTAGAAAAGGGTATGTATATTTAGGCATAAGTTATAAAAGCGAATAAAGGCTTCAAGAAACTTATACCTTAGAGACATAATTATAATTAAATCCAAGACACTTCATAGTCATACGATAGTGAGGACAAAGCAATAAATTAGTGTTTTAACTTTGATTCTAACGAGTTGTGACGGGTCATGACAGATTTTTTTTATAGATATAAAGGAATAACTTTAAAAGTATACAAATTGTGCAAGAGTCATTCAAAATTATTATATGAAGAGATGAACTCAAAAGTAATTTTAATCATAAGTATATACATCTCAAGGATATCTTTTCTTTATCATGTAAAATCTTGTTTTCACCTATCTATCTTGTTAGTAAAATATAGGATTTATATAGAGTAATTTGAGCCTCACTTGGGATGTGATTATACTTCTTCTCATAATTTGTATATTTAATTTACCGGATAGTTTTTGCATGGGGAGATTAAAAGGCTTAATAAAGCCTTCAATTTCCGAGGGGAAAATCATATGTTATACTTCCAAACTATACAACCATCTGCATCGATTCAATCAAAATAATTGGCGTTAATACATGCAAGGATTATACATACAAACAAACCACTTCTTTCATTACAAAATTCTTCAATATTTTATTTTGGTAAACTACTGTTCTTCTTACGTTTGTTTCTTTTTTTGCAAGTATTAGAGGTTAATACAAAAAGAGTGCACAAGAAAAGAAAAAAAATTCGACTGTGAGTCCTTGTCAAGAACCATCGCTTTATCATCATTCTCTTTGCTAACAACTTACAACCACACAAACCCAAGAGTTCCATTCTCATAGAGAAGAACAAATTAAGCAAAATAATGTATGTCGATAGAGAAAGATATCCACAATTATTGCTCCATCCCAAAAGCTTCTTTAGTACACGATACATGTATCATGTAAGTAGAAATATACAAGATACGATACACGACCCATTCTGATAAAGATAGCAACATTTCATGTTATGTAAAGAGGCTCCCTTAGGACACATGCATTAAAAACTAAGGATTACCAACCCACTCACTCTTCACTTCAACGGTTCAACCAAATATCAATCATCTATTTTAGGTCCTTACTCATAAGTCAACTCTCATGTCTTCCTCTATAAATACCCTACACATCCCTCAATTCTATATCATATTCCTAAAAACAATCATAGCAAAAACATATATCCTCAAATTAAGATCTCATCTCTCTCTCTCTAGCCTCGATATGGATCATGAGGAAATTCCATCAATGCCCTCAACGCCGGCTACAACCCCGGGGACACCAGGAGCACCGCTCTTTGGAGGATTCGAAGGGAAGAGGAATGGACACAATGGTAAATACACACCAAAGTCACTTCTAAAAAGCTGCAAATGTTTCAGTGTTGACAATGAATGGGCTCTTGAAGATGGAAGACTCCCTCCGGTCTCTTGCTCTCTCCCTCCCCCTAATGTCTCCCTCTACCGCAAGGTACATCTATATACACATTCTCATTACAATTACTTCACACTTCATATATATAATTATGTTTCCTTTACAAATATTTGTGTGTAAATTAGTTGGGAGCAGAGTTTGTTGGGACATTGATCCTAATATTCGCTGGAACAGCGACGGCGATCGTGAACCAGAAGACAGATGGAGCTGAGACGCTTATTGGTTGCGCCGCGTCGGCTGGTTTGGCGGTTATGATCGTTATTTTATCGACTGGTCACATATCCGGGGCGCATCTCAATCCGGCTGTCACTATTGCCTTTGCTGCTCTCAAACACTTCCCTTGGAAACACGTCAGTACTTTTAACTTTATTTGTTTTTACACACTTTCGGATGTTACTGAGAGAAATTTATAGACATGCACATGCATGTTTATCATGAATTCAACTTTAACATGAGTAATAAAAATATAAAAAATATCATGTAAAGCGATTTCTAATAATTAAAAAACAATTGTTGGTGTCTAAAATCTAAATGATGTTACAAAAATAGGTGCCGGTGTACATCGGAGCTCAGGTGATGGCCTCCGTGTGTGCGGCGTTTGCACTGAAAGCAGTGTTTGAACCAACGATGAGCGGTGGCGTGACGGTGCCGACGGTGGGTCTAAGCCAAGCCTTTGCCTTGGAGTTCATTATCAGCTTCAACCTCATGTTCGTTGTCACAGCCGTAGCCACCGACACGAGAGCTGTAAATTACTTATCAAAAACAATTTTGAAGAATCTTGAATTTTAGACTTTTTAGTCGTCTCAAAAAACTAATCACAAGATTACAGGTGGGAGAGTTGGCGGGAATTGCGGTAGGAGCAACGGTCATGCTTAATATACTCATAGCTGGGTAATTTCTTGATTTCAGTTGTTGTACATGTAATCATATGTTTTACTCATCATGTTTTTGTGTACGACAGACCAGCAACTTCTGCTTCGATGAATCCTGTAAGAACACTAGGTCCAGCCATTGCAGCAAACAACTACAGAGCTATTTGGGTTTACCTCACTGCCCCGATTCTTGGCGCGTTAATCGGAGCAGGAACATACACGATTGTGAAGTTGCCAGAGGAAAATGAAGCACCCAAAGAGAGGAGGAGCTTCAGAAGATGAAAGACAAAACTTGAAAACCGTTGACTTATGTTACGCTGTTTGCATCACATGTGTATAATATAATATCTGGGGTCACCTCCGATGGTTATATAAAACTGCGAATGTCCCTTTTATCAAAATTGCAATAGCGTTTCTGTTTTTTTAGCCTCATACAGATCTTTTAAAGGAAATATAGTAAGTAGCTAGCGATTACAAGGATTGCTGCTTCTAATTCATTTTGCTGATGAGATCATTGATCTTATCTTCGCGGTTTCCAGTATCTCCTCCTTCGCTGAAAACTTGTTTCTTCCCGTGCAAAACATCAGCCACAGGCTTGTTGAGTTTCAAGGGTCCCAAGAATTTCATAACTTCTCTGAAATGATCGCCAACTCTTGCTATCTCATTCACAAGGTCTTCTATGCCAAAGATTTTGTGTTCTCCTAGAGCCTAGGGTTACACAAGTGGGAAATATTAAGAACAGCATGGATATTTATCTGGATTAAGCTCCTATACTTCAATAGTTGGAAATTTTACCTGTTCGATTATGTTGTTGTCAGTAAGAGGAACAGGATTTCCCTCTATGATTGTGTATCCCTTTTTGTATATGAGGTCCTTAACGCTCTTATCATTCGGGTATCTTCAAGAATGGTAAACATCGGTCAGCTCATAAGAGAGTTAAGAAAAAGCATGGAAATCGAGCAACAAGGAAAGATCGAAAGAGGATTGATTGCCTCTACGTACCCATAAGTGACATAAGGCTGCACTTTGAGAAGCTTTTGGAACAAACTGTCAGTTGCTTTGGCAAATACACCAGTAAAGACGCTCCTAAGTTGCAAATTGTTAAGAATCCTCTTGGTCTTGGGGTGCATATCATTCTTGCTGGTCACCAGAAAGAAAAGGAAAGTATAAGAAACTGGCAGAGATGAAGATTAAATTCCAAGGGGAAAACAAAGCTAATTGGAGAATATCAATTACCCTTGTATGCGTATGATGAAAACCAGGTCTGATTTAACTGGTGGAGGAGATGACTTTGGCCTCTTTACTCTTTGCTTCATCCGGATCATATCTATTTCCTTAAGTAGAGATAAAATTAACAAAAAAGAAACAGTCAAATTACAGAGAACAATGGAGGATTAACAAAAGAAACAACAAGTCCTAAGAACAAACTTGTAAAACTAGGAAGACATCTCAAAGGAAAAACACAAATTATCTGTAGAGTCTAAGAGATAGGTAAAAAAACACTAATAGAGGCAACTTAAACTCCACGTAAAGCAATGAAAGACCCAAGTCAAATGCAAAATGTGTTGAAACCTAAACCTAAAGGTTGATGTATATATAGCATATAATTGTAACTCAAAGACTAGATTCAGCCAAACCTGTTTCCATGGATTACAAAGCATGATCTAAGGTGTAGTAGACAAGTCTAGAAGCAAAAAGCAGAGCTTGGGCAGTAAAATAAATGGGCAATGACAGAGCAAATGTTTTTAAATTCAATGGCCAAATCTGAAAAATTAAGAAGCTAATACAAACAACTTCAACTCCACGTAAAGAAATGAAAGACCTTTACTATGCAGACCTTAGTCAAATGCAAAATTTGTGTTGTATAGCTTTAATTTAAAGCAAAGACTAAGCAAAGTTTTCAAAGCAAAACAAGTTCTTCTAAGTTGTAAACAAGTCAAGAAGCAAAAATCAGAACTTGAGGCACCAAAACGAATGGAAAATGACAAAGCAAAGTTTTCAGAGAATCTGGAAATAAAGAAGGAAGTGTACCTTAGCCCTGAACTCAAGCACAAAATCTTCAGGACGTTTGATGTCAGAGACTTTCTTCTTCTTCTTGCCGAAATTTCCCAACTCAAGTTGCTTCTTCCTGATAAAGGCAAGCTCATCTCTGTTCTTCCTCTTCTTCAGTACAATCTCCGGTATGTAATCCAAACCCTTAGCTTCTTCTTCAGCCATTATCTCTCTACTCTTTGCTTCTACAACACAAAAAACAGATACCAGATTGTAATTTTTGTGAAAAGTTTATACAGAATTTGTAAAATCGATTCCTTGAAAACAAACAACCCTAGAAGAAGTGAGGCTATAGGGACTAAAACCGAATGAACAAGAAAGCAAAACGGAAAGAGAAAACAAAATTACCGGTGGCGGCGAAGCAATTTGAACGGCGGCTGAATGAATTCGAAGTTGAAGTTTGGTAGCAATGGCCGAGAACGAGAACACTAGGGTTTATTATTAACTAAGATCTCTTTTGTGTTATTAACAACTTTGCCACCAGACCTAATTACGGTCCGGGCCAGACATTAAAATTTTACACTTAAAGCCCAATATATTTGGGCTTCTGTAAGGCCTTACTGCCTGTGAATCTACTTAGCTTTATTATATCTTCATTCTTCTGCGATGAGTCAATACATTTATTAATAGACCGGGGATGCTTAAATTACAGGTTTTGTTTCATTTAATTACATGGGATGCAAAAAAATTCCATCACTGGTTTCTTCAGTTCAATTTGTATTTTACTGAAAACACAAGCACAAATCATGAAAACGTTGAAGTTGTGAATAGTTTAGTTACCTTTTGGTTTGGTCTTAGTTTGATTGCTACTTTCAAGGGCAACAAAGGAAGATGCTACATGTTCTATCGGTAGTTCTTTTTTGTAATATGATCTTTCCGATGACTTGAACAAGAGAAAAACTTTTACAAAGTGGTTGTTTTTGTTACTCCATCTTCACTGTCTAATGGTGCTAGCCTAAACTTGAGAATCTTGTGGAGTTTGGCAACTGTCTTCTTCTGTGGCGTCTGGTTTTCACCTTGTACAAACAAACAAATGCACAATCAGCACAAAAAAAAACAAAATAATTACTTGAAACAATAAGATGTTTCCATGTTTGTTAATAACGAGGAAAAGTGAAACTAACATTTGTCAGAGAAAGCAAGGCATGTACCAATCGTTTCTATATATTCTCCAACCTGAGAGATCAATCTAATATGATTAAGAATAGTTTAAGCAAAGAGTAACTGCTGAACTTGGAAAATTGTAGTTGCAAGTAAGAGAATTACCAGCTTGATTTTGTCATCAATGGTCAACACCGGATTCAAAGTATCCAAACCCTGAGAGAACATACAAAACGAAACTTATAATACAACATCAAACCAATGCAAGAGAATGCAAATTGTTAAATTAAAGAATTGAATTAAACTAACTGACAAAGTATAAGGAGCATCTGATGGAATGTCAATGTGCCTTAAAACGTCATCAAGGTCAATCATAACATACTCGTCCTCCATCTCTGTCTCTCTCTCCCTGTATCAATTAGTTTATTAGGGTGAAGAAGAACACATATATATATATATATATATATATATATATGAATCCAAAAACTTTCTTACATTCTGACGACGATTAGATTCAAGAACTTATAATTCTTATATCTCCTAAAAAAATTGTGTTGAGGAGAATCAGTGGCGGAGCTAGGAAAATTAGTTACGGGGTCATAATATTTTTTTTGTTATAAATATTAATTTTATTATAAAAAAATGTCATTACAATTTTTTTTTTAAATGAATCCTTATAATTAAGTTTTAAACAACAAAATCAATTAATAAAAAACTTAGTTAAAGCCCAACAATTTGTTAAAAAAGTCCAACGATTATGTTGAATCCCAATTAAACTATAGATAATTCCTAAAATTAATGGCATATTTCTATTTTCAATTTTTTTAGAGGGGTCAATAATATTTGAGAGGGGTATCAATAGCATTTTTGGACATGTGTCAAATAATTATTTTAACAAACCTAAGCTGAAAATTTTAATTTCATGGGTGTCATATGACCCCCATATTTCTTCATTGCCTCCGCCACTGGAGAATGGCTCACCTCTTTCTTGTTTCCCTTGAACCTTTTGAAAAAATACGAAAACCTTTTCAAGTGAGGGAATTGAAGAACAAGCCCGATTAAGGGGAAGAAGAAAAAGAAAGAAGATCAATCGGTTCTCTCTGCTTCTTCTATGTAAGGAATAAAGATTTGCTCTGTTATGAGATTATAGCCCAAAAGCCCAAACGAAGGACGGGGCCGATTATTATTAAGGACAAGTAAACACGAACACAAAACACACGTAACTCACAAAACTTATTCAAAGACCACCACATTCCATACTGTCTTGAAAGACAACACAACACTTAACAAACATAAAACTTTCAAAGACCACGATCCATAATATCTTGAAAGACAACACACTTGACTCACACAAACTTACTCAAAGACAACGCTCCATACTACTTTTTTAAAGAAAGACCTCAGATCGATACGATACTTAAATACATAATGGGACTGTATGATACTTGATACATAATTGTGGACTTTCACATCTTGAAACACTTGACTTCAAGCGACGCTCTGGCGTTTCATCCATTGTTCTCCTTATGATAGCATTGTAGTCTCGACGGGAGCCACGGCTTTTGAAGGCAATGTAAGATTGCATTCTCCGCCTTGGCCCACTTCTTCGACTCCACATCTTCTCTGGTTTGTACAATTATCTTTCTCAGCTCAAATGGTTGTGCCCACTGCAGTTTTTCCTGCAAGACAAACACCAAGAGATCATTAACCTACACGAGTTCCCCATCTTAACTTGTTGTTTTTAAGTCAAGTCCTTTTGCCTCACCAGGAAACGTCCACAAGTGGTAAAGAATGCAAGTTCCGCATACCCATTTCTTGTATTCTTCCACCTCTGATTCTTTCATCTGCAAATCGCACGTCAACAACAACATATCACATCTTTGTGACCATTTTAAGATTTAAAAGGGAGGGAGCTCACCTCGTAGTATTGCAGATTATCACTGGCAGTTAATGCATCCTCAGGCACCCAATCGGGCATGTCACCTTTGAAGAAATCATCCACGGAAAGTTTGTCAAATGCCGCACATAGGTCGCCTTCCACCTCCTCTGAGATCGTACATGCATGGCCAACAATAAAGATGGAAAATATTAGACACAGAAACCAAAAAAATATATAGACACACAAACCAAAAAAAATATTCGACACACAACAAAATATATATATATATATATATATATATATATATATATATATATATATATATATATAGAAGTTGGTTTGAGCACCAAAATTACAATTTACCTGGAGTTTGCGGGGGCTTAAACCTGCAGAGCGTTGCAATCATAGTCGAGCAACGTTTCTTCTCAACCTCATTATACTGAACCCTTGCTTCGAAGTCGCGAGTGGAATTGAGTATCATGGAAGCAACTATTCCGGTATCCTTGGACACATTCCCAAGTGCAGACAAAAATTCAAAGTTTGTCCCCTACAAGATCAAAATAAGACGAAGTTCACTTAAAAGCACTACAACTTATAGAAACCAATAATATAGTAGACAGTCAAGAGAAGCAAAATCTCAAGTGCAAAAAAGAGAGAGAGAGAGAGAGAGAGAGAGAGAGGGACTAATTTACCTTGTGCAGATTGTAGCAATAGAGTTGGTCAAAGGAAATAGGGCAAGCCTGTTTCAGAGTCCAGCCGATATATGACCATGTCTATGAGTCCGTCATCCGTACGCCTGACGGGCCCATTGAATCGATCACACGTGAAGACAGACATTCTTGGAAAATCTCACCCAACCCTAAATTCTGATAAAAGCATTAGATTCAATTGAAATCTTAATACCCAAACCCTATGTTTTTTTGAACATCTATGAGGATCAAATTTTCACCATGCTTGAGGATAAAATCAAATCATATATTAACAGACAGAACCCTAAACCCTAATTTCTCGGAATCATAACATATTCGTCCTCCATGTATCAATGAGTTTATTAGGGTGAAGAAGAACACAACGATATTTATGAATCCAAAAACTTTCTCACTTTCTGACCACGATTAATTAGATTCAATAAATTATAACATCTCCTAAACAACAAATTTATGTTGAGAATGGTTCACCTTTTTTTTTTTCCTTGAATCGTTCGAGCAAATTCGAAAACCTTTTTAAGTGAGGGAATCGAAGCACAAGCGAAGATTAAGAAAGAGGGAATTTGCTCCGTTATGAGATATCAAATTTGGGCCCAATATAAAACCTAAACGCCCAGGTGGCGATAATTTGCGTGGACCAAATTTTCACCATTTAATAGTCGAAGCTGGTAGCAATGGCCTAAAACACGATTTCAGAATTTTGCTACTAGACTAGTTACGGTCCGTGTCAGACTTGAACAAAATCTTACACTAAAAGCCCAATATATATGGGCTTGTGGGCTAAACTGCCTTTATTATCTCCTAAATGAGTCGAAAAAAAAAAAATATATATATCTCCTGAATGAATGATTACATTATTAAAGCTTTTTTTTTTTTTTTTGCCAAAACTAACAATAAAAAGGAAAGATAAGAGTAACTATCAAATCCAGAGAAGCATGAGATCATTATTAAAGCTTGTAAGTGGTGATCATATACCAGAGAGTCTCGGTCGGTGGTAACTGAATTACGCAAAATCGAACCAATGTTTGTCGTCAAGTTCTGAAGAGAGATCTTGGACGTGCCTAACTCCTGGGATGCTTAATAACAGGTTTTGTTTTTCTAAATTCTAACTAAGCATCTGTCTTTTTTTGGTATTAATTCTTTTTTAAGCAACTCTAATTCGAAGCTTCTAGTAAGTTGTCTTGTCTGGAATCAACGGAGGGTTTCAGTCTAATCACAAGAATTTAAAATCTTTAGATCAAAGATCATAAGAAATAGAATTGTTTCCAAACGAAGATAAGGTCAACATAAACTAAGAAGTAGAAACAACGATCAAGAGCTAACAGTTAAAGCCATTGTTTGAGCATATAGCTCTTGCTGACCCAAAAAGAAATAAAAGAACATTAAGCAGTCTAGAAAATGGAGTACGATTCCTAAAGATAGAGAGCTTCATGATGAGGCCTTGATGGAGACCGTCAATCAGATTGATCCTCCGGCTTTGCCTGCATGCATTCAGGGTACTTGAAGGGCAGCTTGATTACAGGCTCATCATCCGTCAGTCCTTGACTCGCCATACCAAATGCATATCCTAACGCAACCCCTACAGGAACTGCCACTGCATTCCCAACCTGGATGTACCTACAAAATTTAATTCAAACCTTAGTTTTTTCATATTAGGATCTCCAGTGCTAAACAACAATCACATGACATACATAGCTAGAGGAGCAGCAAGAACCAAGGACTTACTTTTCCTTAATTGAGCCACAAAGCTTGTAACAATCAGGGAACCCTTGTAGTCTGGCATTCTCACGGACAGACAACACACGCTCTTGCATTGGATGGATTACGCACTGCACCAACCAGTTTTAATAAACCTGTCACTAGAGAATGCAAACTGGAACGTACTCACACACATGGGAAATGAAAGCAAAAGGGCTTACCTGGTTGTGAGGTTCTGCCCTTGTCACAACCGTGTTAACTATTTCGTCCCACCACAATCTACCAAAAGGCCTGACATTCAGATAACAGATGTGTTACTTTCAGTGCATTTAACATTCTTAGGTTATGGAAAGAGGTTCCACAAGAAGCATATTAGTTAGAGAAAGTCACTTTTTTGATTTTCCTTTTATGAATGAAACTGCATAAGCAGGGACCTGTGAAAACCAAAAGACATGTCATATAGAAGCTGCAAAAAAAAAAAACTAGAACACAAAAATGACAAGGTGGCGCGTGGTTTAATGTTTACCACATTCTTTCCAGATTTTAACTTTGCTCGCTTCACCCTAAGGTTAAGTTGCGCTTTGTTGTTGTGAACTAAAACACCAGGCATATCACGAAAATTTGCCCCCTGTAGCAATAAGAATTCAACAACATGAACAAGAAATGATTATACATTGAATGCTTGAAACAAGCACTAAAAATTGTCGCACCTTCTTTTTTGGTATGTAGGAAATTCTTTCCAAGTCGTCATCTCTTAATTCAAGAGGCTGATGATCAAACAACCTGCGCGCCGGATCTCCACCACATACGGGTAATAGTGTCTCTGAAACAAGGAAGATTCGTTAATATTGGATTAAAGGTACCTACCAAATTTATCGAGTTTAAAATGCTCACCAGATCTTTTAAGGCTAATAAAGTTCTCAAAATCTGTCTTAGGAGCAGCATCATTATAATTCCTTACATCATTTGCCTCAGAATTTGTCACCTACAGCATTAATAGAGCACTGATCAATGAACTAGATAGATATAATGTAACATAATCATCAACGGCAGTTCTGAAGTTTAGATACACACAGGTGGTAGGTCACTAATAGCATCAGCCAGCGTAAGAGCGTTGTCTAATTGAAGAAGCTCCTTTTGAATAAGTCCAACTTGTAAATCCTGCATTTACAACAGATGAATAAGCAATGAAATTATAAGTGTCTTTTAAATTTAAATGTACAACCGTCCACACTTGCCTCAAATTCCTTTGGTGTGTTGAATTTTTTCTCAACTTCATGTGTTGGAAGTGGGTAAGGGGGGAGTTTCTGTCAAACAAGTTAAGAGAGAGCAATAAAGATCATGTCCTCTAAGACAATATATTAGTGGTAAATATTATGTAACATATATTTACCTCTGTTGGTTGTGCGGCCCATAAAAAAACCCTGTTTCTAACCTGAGGGAGACCGTAGGATCCAGCCGTCATCATGCCCAACCGCGTCTGGTAATTCATGGCAACAAAGCTAGCCACAGCATGACGTGCCAGGTAACCCTTTGAAAACCTAAGAAGGTCTACAACATTTTCCATAAGCACGTAACTTGGCTTGAGGAAGTCAATGATGTCTAAAAACACCAAAAGTTGCTGGTTTTTCTTATCCTCAAGCGGTGCTTGTTTGTTTCTAAACCGGTTATAGCCACTGATCCCTTGGCAGGGTGGCCCACCGCACACAGAGTAAACAGTACCCTGAAATAGTAATAAACAAATATTGAAGAGACCAAAGTAATTATAAGCTAGGCACTATCATCAAACATGTAGTTAAGATCGTAAAAAGCTTGATAAACTCAACGGGAAGTGGTAAAAGATGAGACTTGAACCCATCTGTCACATACTCCTTGAGCTTCTCCTTACAATTGCTGGAAGAAAAATAAAGTAATTAATATAAATATTAATAAAACGTCAATACAAAACTAGGGCTGGAAAAGTTACCCTAAGCCAGAGTAAGGTTCCCATGTATCATACTTAGGACTGTATCCCTTCCACCTTACCTGAAAGTAATGAAATAAAAATAAAACTAATGTTTGAATTATCTCTTACGAAAGGATAAAATTTGTTTGTAACTAATTGAGAATTCTGATTTATAGTTCAGGAAACAATACCTTAAGATGAAGTGTCTTTTCCCCTGTGCCTTTAGGATCTCCAAAAACGATGCCAACAAACTTTTCTACTTCAAACTCTCCCGCTGAGAGTTCCATACCAGTACTTGCCTCATCTATGTCATCATTTTCGTCACTTTCTTCATCTTCCAACTCAGAAATTGATTCCATTGGTTCAGTGCTTGAACTGAGAGAAAACCTTTCACAGAGCCTTTTCCATTCTTTGAGGAGAATTAGAAAATCTTCTGCGGCTTCATTTCTCACCTGCGCAATGTTCAAAATAAAATAATTACATGAGTAGAAATCGTATCTTTGCTCCTAAGACGCTTTATAAAAATCACCAATAAAGACTTACCTCTGTTTCAGGATGATTATGTCTAAAACTATCACAAGCAAACTTATTTATATCCACAGACCATTTCTGCGAAATCAGAAAGACTCTTGGTCAGATACAGTAAAATGGTAAGTGAGTATTCATAACAAAATTCATAATAAGATTTACCGTAATCAATTTTACTCCTGCTATGGAAGCTCCCATGCAGAAACCTGTGGACATCGCTCCGCATCCACTGTACAGATCCAATAAATATTTTTCATCTTTGTGGAGAGTTTCAAAGCAATTCGAGGCGGAATCACTTGAAAGAGTTGATGACGCAGCAGTATCTGTTGGGATTGTTTGGCATAACAAAAATCATTAGTTTTCTCCAAAACACTATGAAGAAGGTTAATAAGAATATGAACGATAAAATTGCAAAAACCAGAGCTTGTTTTAAGTATTTTTTAGAAATGACCAACTAAGATATGATAGTGCTCATGTCAATAACAGTAAAAAGTCTCGGATGGTGCTAGAAACTAAATAGCATGGACATTACAATTAGTAAGAAGCTAATTAAAACCGCAACCAGAAGGAATAAAATTTCAAGTACAATCATTTGCACTTTAAACGACCAGCTCATATAAGATAATACTGATACAACAAAACAGTAATAAGTTTAGGATGTGGCTACAAACTGATTAACATGGACAATGCAGTTAAAAGGAAGCAAATTAAAACCGAAACCATAAGGAATAAAAATTCAATTACCATCATCTGCACTTGTAAAATTCAGATATGGCACTTCGTACTTCATATCATAGTAATAGTCACATGGAGGAATAACCCTTTGCTCGATTCTGGAGGTAATCTGTTGTAAAAAGTGTTAATTAGTATAGATAAATAAATTCATAAGAAGCCAAATCACCAAACTTTTCATACACTGCGCCAATTGAAATTAGAGTATTTGATACCTTTGGTAATGGGACTTTAGCGATGTTGACTTTCGAATAAATGCAGGTGAGAGGATTATCGTCCTCAACATTTGATAGAAACACCCTCTTTTTTTGCACAAGTTCGGCAAATCTTTCGATCAACTATAGAATACAAAGAACACAAATGAGATACATAAATTAGTACTAAGGGATCTAGTAAACTCAAACGCAGTAACAACTCACAGTATCATTGGGTCTGTAAAACCATCGAATCCGAGAGTAAGGCACCCCATCATCTGCTTCGAACATTTCAATAACTTTTCCAATAAAATTCAGCTTCCCTGGTAGACCCTGCATGGTAATTACATAAGGATCAGTGGTTGACAACAAAATTTTCAACAATGATTAACAAAAACCATGGAAATTGTACCAACCTAACATCTCAACAAAACAGAAAAACTGTAGCAACATAGAATCTAAACAGAGATTGACAAAAACCATGGCATAAATGAAGGAATTTCAGGAAGCTAAATGTACCGTGACGTAGACATCGTCATTGAGGTTGATGAGAACTCCATCAACCAAAGCTTGCTCGTAGTGACGTTTCGCTAGCTTTATCTTTTCCTTTTTGTCACTGTAAATCAAAACAACGAAAGGTCATGACACCCAACATAAGACAAAGCAACAAAATCATAGAAGAAGCGAACATAGAATCGAATTTCAACAGAGAAAACAAACAAAAAACCCTAAATTTTTACCCCTTCGTCGCCGTCGCAGCTTCAAGCTTTGTTTTCTTGGATGGGTAGCGATGAGGCCATCGAATCATCGACTCGACAACAGACACTGGTTTCCCAGCAAAACACAGATCTGACTCTGGCTCAGCGCGTTTCATCTGTTTGTTTTTCACTGCCATTTTCGCGTAATCGGAGAAAGCTAAGAAGACGAAATGAGCAGAGAAAGACCAAGTAATGATGAAGCGACGGAGAGACGAGGTCTATATGTACTAGTGTGACTAGTGGAGAACAATCAGAGAAAGAAAACCCTTTTGGAAATCGTCGTGGAGAAAACAAATTAATGAGAAATTTTAGGAAATAAAATCAATTTCGAATCATGGAGAAATTATAAATCGTTGTGGGGAAATTAATGAGAAACTTTAGGAAATAAAATCAATTTTCGAATTATGGAGAAATTAAAGAGGAAATTTAGGAAATAAAATTAAGCTTCGAATTTTGGATATCTTTGGAGTGAGCGGGAGAAATCTCAACTCCGAGCGCCCATTTTTTTAGTCTGCGTGAATTACTTTTAGCTCCTCGTTATTTCTGGTAATTTCGAATTTTACCTCATTCTATTGATCCTAATGGGCCTAATATAAGGGCCCATAGAAAGTTATGCCATGTTCGACGTAAATGATACTAATCAGTCTTTTTTTTCTTAATTTTTGTAAGGGATTGAAAGATAATTAGTGGAGTTATGTTCCCTATCTCTTTGGAACAGACCCACGTTTCCATGTTTCCATTTCTCTCAATGTTTCCGAGTTGTGTAGGAGTTAGAGACTTCGTTATGATTAAATAGAAAACCCCAACAAATAAATAAAACCATGTTTATTTTTTTCTAAATAAAAAGTGTTCATTTGTGTTCTTATCATTTTTACTTGTAGCTAGGCACATGCACATCCTATACTCTGTTCCACGAAATCCCTTGTATATTTGTATCTCTTGTTCCAGTTCAATCACATGCAAATTGTGTAAACGGAAAAATGTTTATTAACTATGTTAGCTTTAGACATTCTATTGTTCATCATTCATGGACATTCTTTTCTCGTATATTTACCTTTTCTTTGTTATTAAAGAAGTAGAGGGTGGTCCATAAACTTTTGTTGTGGAGGTTGGACCGACAAGGTAATCTAGGAAGAGATATATTGTCGTCGAAATTGATTAGACAAAGCAAAATAAAAACAAAATGCATCACCTCATAAGTCACTACGATGAAAGCAAAAAAAACTGTACTTTTGAAACTAAAGGTGGATGTGTTTTCTCTTTTTCAGCAGATGGTATATATTGATGATTCAAAAGAAATCAATCATAAATTTTTGGGAATCATATGTTTGGTGATAAGATCACAGTTGGATGTATTAAAAATTGAACCGGTATGACTACAACTACATCGCAATATCATTGTATTACGATCAGATCACAATCATGTGCTGTTGTTAGTACTAATTAACAATTTTTTTTTTTTTTACTAACAATTGGTAATCGTAATTTCAATATCGAGCGACCAAGAAATATATATAGCGTTTCATTTATCAACTACATATATAAAATTTTCAAATGCATTTGGTGAGGTTTTACTTTACTTTTATATAAAACACAACTGATTAAGGAATTGATTTAACAGTTTAGTTGACTCATATATATCAAGGGTGCCATATATAGTTTTGTAAGCTAACAAGAATGAATATATAATCGTAAACAAATGATTAATAACATTTTTATGTGAGATGGATGTGTATCGTTTTTAAGTTTTTGACACTCAACCGAAAACGGGAAAATGGATTAAAAAAAAAATCGAAACGAAAGTGATTGTCGGGAAGATTTGATTGGCTTCATAATCCTTGTCCAAATTGCTAATTTACCTAACACTTAAACAAATAAAGACAGCTTCTTCATATAGGGTTCTGAATCAAACGTCTCACCTAAACCCTAAATAAAGGAAGAGTACGTACATACGTGTATATATTTGTAATCCCCAAAAAACGGTTGTATAGTGAAAAAGGATTATGTGATTATAACAAAGAAAAACGAGGTGACACCAAAGATAGACTCATTTGATTAAGATAGACTACTTATAGCATTCATTACAATAGTATAACATGATATCATGAACACTCATTATATGTGTTCCCAGATAAATCAATAATTCATATAATTACTACATTAATTTTCTTCTTTTTTCAATTGTCCACTACTATACAGTTACATGTGTGGGCTCTATAGCTCTAGGTCAGATTGCACACATCAAAAGTGTCCTTTTTTTCTTTAAACATCATTCAATTTGAAAAAAGGTCACATGTCCGTCCAATTCCATAAATAGAACTCACACTTCACTTCCCACGACCACATCAGTTCACATCTTTATCAATTTTTTTACTTTCATTCTCTTTATATATTCTCTCTAGGCCATATACAGAGAATATACATGGATCCGTCCATCAAAGGAGATCAAGAAATGTTAAAAATCAAGAAACAAGGTCATCAAGATCTTGAGTTGGGTTTGACCCTTTTGCCACGTGGAACCACGACTTCGTCAGAGCTCAATCTCATCGATTCTTTTAAAACCAGCTCATCGTCGACTTCTCATCATCATCAACAGCAAGAACATTTGGCAGATCCGAGAGTGTTCTCTTGCAACTATTGTCAAAGAAAGTTCTATAGCTCACAAGCACTAGGCGGCCACCAAAACGCTCATAAACGCGAGCGCACCTTGGCCAAACGTGGACAGTATTACAAGATGACTCTCTCCTCCTTGCCTTCTTCAGCGTTTGCGTTTGGCCACGGTTCAGTCAGCAGATTCGCAAGCATGGCATCGTTACCATTACATGGCTCGGTGAATAACAGGTCGACGTTAGGGATTCAAGCTCATTCAACGATCCATAAGCCCTTTTTAGGAAGACATACGGCGAGTTTAAGCCATATTTTCAAACAGAGCATTAACCAGAAACCGACCATCGGAAAGATGTTGCCGGAGAAATTTCACCTTGAAGTCGCCGGCAGTGATAACAGTAAGATGATTGGACATTTCAAGAGAAATCAAGAAGACCATAATCAGTTTAAGAAGATTGACTTGACTCTTAAGCTATGAGCTCTTAAATTGTCATCTTCTTTTTAGTCTTCATTATAACTTTTTTTTTATTCTCATATTTGTTTGATATAATGATTGACGGCAGGGTGTGTTAGAGTTTCACTAATCAAGTTGTACTTTTTATATATTCCATTGATGCCTTGTGGGTGTAATTCAATATTTGAGGTCTATTTTAAGTCCATGTAGTACAATACTAAAAACTATTTATTTTTATTTTTATTTTACTAAAAACTATTAAAATGGACTATATATATGGAGAAATGTTAGGTCGTCCACGTACATTTACTATACATTTATTAGACTGGTGTATTTATTATAATCACAAATGTGGACAGTGGACATCACATGTATAACATAATAATAAGATGAATATAAAAAATAATATCATCTACTCTCTCCGTTTCAAAATATAAGGCGTTTTAGCTAAAAGCACGCCGATTAAGAAGATTTACTTTTTAAAAGTTCAGTCAATCATAAAAGAGACTGCATAATAAAAATAATCATAAAATATTAAAATAATACTCCCTCCGTTTCGTTTTACTTGTCGTTTTAGAGTTAAAATTTTGTTTCATAATAGTTGTCGTTTTAGGTTTTCGATGCAAATGTTTGGTGAAAATTCTAGTTTTATTCATACTGTTTTAATGTTTCGGCCAATGAATTTTTTTATAAAATCTATACTATTAATTGAGAATCACTCAAATTTAAATAACCTTATTTTGGTAGAATATTTACAAAGATTGCCATTGCAAAATTTGGATACAAAGAAATAACAAATTCTCACGTTGAAGGGTAAAAAAAAGACTTTACATTTAAAAAAAACGCGGATCTTGGATCTTCACCCGGATCTACCAATATTACAAACAATTGAGACACGCGGATCTATATTAGCTTATTTGGATGATCCGATTATCATTTGAGCTGAATATTACTGGGTTGGTGACATTTGAGCTGGGCTTCTTAGACGTCTAATGGGCTTCACCGACAACCAAATAAACCAAATAAACCGAAGATACGTTAGTTACCATTTAATAAGATGCATATCATTATGTTAGTTACCATTTAAGATACGTTAGTTACCATTTAAAAAGATTTCTATAACAAACATATTCAGAAATATCCTTAACTACATAAATTTAAACAGATTTCCATAACAAACAAATACTCGACAATCGTTTTAGCTCAATTAAATCATAATCACATCTTCCCAATTTATTAAAATCGAAATTATTTACTTTAAAAAATAATTCAATTACCAAACTCTATCAAAAACCTTATTTTGAGATATGTTTAAATCAAGAATATTCCCTTAAAATCGAGCATCTACCTTATACGGTTGTTGATTTAATTCTCTAAACCCTAAAATCTTCTAACCTCCCTCAACTCATATAAATAGACGCCTAATGTAAAGTTCAGAAACACACTTACCTTTCATAAAAGCATTCTTCTCTTTTTACTATTTCGTAACCATGGCTGCAAATCAAGGTATCACCACCCTTGCTGACGTACGACCTTTCAAGACGAATTGGAAGATCCAAGTGAAAATTGTCCATTCCTAGACACAATATATGCAATTCACTGGTGAAATAACAGAGATAATCCTTGCAGATCAGGCTGTAAGTATACATTATGTGCTTCATTAAATCTTAAGATTCTTTACTACTTACAATAATCATAAAACTAATAACTATTTTGTTATCTTCTATATAGGGTACTTTGATACATGCTACTGTGAAAAAACAACAAGTGAACAAGCTTCAAAGGTACATCCAAACTGGAGAGTGGAGAATTGTGGAACACTTCACAGTTGCCAAATCTACGGGAAAGTACAGGGCAACCAAACATGGGTTCAAAATTTCACTCATGAACACGACTGTTATAAGTCGTATCCCTTCTATTAGCGAGGAGATTTACTTGGATTTGGCTAATTTCCCAGATATTTTAAATGAAGCAGGCTTGAATGAAAACATCTTGATTGGTACCAATACTTTTCAAAGTTTTATTTCATATTTTAGGTTGGCACGTACATTGAAATATGCATCTAACTTTGTTTCATCTTATCACGTGTTTTCAGATGTACTTGGACAGGTCGTGAGTTGTGGAGAGATGAAAACTCATGATGTCAACAACAAGGCCACAAAAAGACTTGAGTGTGAACTGCGAGACACCAAGTAAATTTCTTCCATATTTATACTTATAAATTTAGTGAGACTCTATCTAAATTTTCTAACAGAATTAATGTAAACAACTATTACTTGATAGTGATGAACGATTACCATGTACTCTGTGGGGGAGATTTGCTGAGGCATTGATGAACCACTGTGAGAATGCAGGCAATGAGAGGGTGATTTTACTGATTCGTCTTGCCAAAATCAATTCATCTAAAGGTATTTCACACTCATTTTACTATTACCAATGTTATTAGAAAGATCCAAATAATAATATCAATTTTACTATTGCAGGTGTAAGATCAATTTCCAATTGCTTCGAAATGTCATTGTTGGAAATCAATCCAACCTATCCTATTGTCGAAGAGTTTGTGGCCAAGTAAGTGATATAATAATAATACTCTTTCGAGATATTATGCTAAAAGATGTCTATACTAAAGAGATTTCTTTTTGTCTACTAAGTTTGCCTCCGGAAGTGTTCCCTTTGACTATCCAAGAAGATCTTCCTAAAGAAAGCAAGCTCGTGAAGAAGAAGGAATATTACAATCGTTTTCCCAGGAAAACAATTTCTGAGCTCTTTGAGGCTACTGAGGTATTTATGAGTATTATTCTAATTACAAGAACTTTTAATAGTAGCATACACTTTACTAATTATTTTTTAAAATGGGTGTGGGTTGGCAAATACAACATTCTCTGTACCATCATGAATGTTGACACAGACTATGCTTGGTATTTCTTTTGTTGTCTGAAGTGTAGCAAGACCGCATACAAGATACCAAAAGTTGAAAATGAGATTGTCAAGAAAGGTAAGAAACCAATGTTTTGGTGTCCAACATGTAAGGAAGATACTCCTAAGGTTGTACCAAGGTAACTACTTGCTACTTTTGTATTTTGTACTAACAAAAAATGATTACATTATGTCTGGACCTGTTTTAATAGTATAGATGTTTGGTTATTAGGTACTTGCTAAACATTGCAGTGATGGACAACACTTGTGATACTAAGTGTAAGGTGTTTGATAAAAATGCACAAGAGCTAATTGGAGTGTCTGCTGAAGATCTCCTTGAAGGGAACTGGGAAGAGGTAATATATCATCAGGTTTTTAAATCTAAAAACATTATTAAGTATAATCATTGAATAAAATTAACATATAGTTAATTTTTTGCAGATACAAGATCCCACGAACTTGCCTCAACCAATAAAGGATTTGGTTGGAAAAACTTTCCAGTTTCTGGTCTCAATTGGGAAGGATAACATCACTGAAATTGATGATACATACAAGGTGTCTACAGTATGGTTGGGTAATGATTTTAATACCATTGATAATGTGGAGGATTCTGACCTTCAGATAGAACAAGCTAATGAGCTAACTGGATCGTGTTTTGATTGCATAGTGAGTACCAAAGTTTTGAATAACTTATGTGCTGCTTAACATCATCAAATAAGAATAATGTTTATTTTTACAATTCTACTTATGTTTACAGGAAGGACTTGCTTTGACTGGAAATAGTAGTGAGACCACTGATGTCACTGCTGGTAATACATCTACTCCTTCGTCTAAGCAAAGTGTGGATGATTGTTCTGAAGAAGGTGAAGGTCAGTGTTCTACTACTAAAAAACCATGTGTAGCTTCGATTCGTGATGACATTGAAAAGGAAAAGATCCAAGGTGATAAGGAAGCAGGTGCTAAGTGAAAGTGATGGTGGGAGCTGCATTGGAGTTTTTAGCTTTGTTATTTTCTTTTTTCTTTTTTATGTTTAATGCTTCTTAAGTCATTTGTTTCCAAACTTTATCCTACATTTAGTTTCATGCTTTAATTTTTATCTATTTCAAGCTTTCCACTACATTTTCTTGCAGTCCTATCAATAAAGACTACAGAGATTTCTACTCATGTCCTACTGTTAACAAATACAATGCCTACTACTATTATTTAAAAGATAATAAATCAGATAACACTAACCTTTGAAGTGTTTGTCGTACAAAGATATTTATGATCTTTAGTTCCAACTGTACCACCTGTAGTCATGAATTCGTATTGCACCTGTAAATGAATTTAAGTTTCTGTCAAAAAAAAAGATGACTAACCTGATATCCTTGATGACTAACTTTATATATAGAACGATGTATGTCTATACTTTGATTAATAATATAGATACTTCAGAAAATTTTGATTTGATCAATCAATTTGAGAACATGTTGAGATCATGTTGACTGTATTACTCAATCACTTTCAATATATAACACATTACAAAAAGAAAAAATTGATAAAACAATTAGTCAACAAAACTGGATCCAAAACTGTCAATGTTAGAAAACTTTCTTCTCAATATATTAATTGACTAACCTGATAAAGATTACTCTGTCTAATTGATATTCAAATAAATGATCCTGAACATATATAGCAACGGAATTGGGAATGACCATTATCAAACAAAATTAAATATTCTCACAGAGATATAACAATTAGTTCACAAGATAATTTGTTATTAAAAATAAATATAATATCTAATTAGTATCTTTACTGTTATATATGACCTATACAAAACTGGTTGTTTCGATATCATATCAATTTTATCACAGATATATATCTATATGTATAAAAACTTCACTGATTATCGAGAAGCTCATTCAATCAGTCATCTCTAAGGTTACTATTAATTTCGACGACCTGTAGACTATTTACAGGTGAATCAATCAAAGTTTTTAGATTTCTTATTCTCTATCCTTGCTGTTTCTTTTCCAGAATGAAGAGGATAGAAAAAGACTCTAGCGATGGAAATAACAACAGGCAAGAGAGTTCTAACCCAAAGCGTTCAAGATCTAAACAAAATGGAGAAAACACTAATCCAAACAAAGAAAGAGACAATGAATGTGGTGTTCAAGGAAGTTTTTCAAAACCTATAAAAATATGCTGCAAAAGGTAATCATTTCTATTCTTTTGAAAAGATGGAAGACTTTAGCTAATATGCTGTACTAATGATCATTACTTTTGTATGTTTTTACAGGGAACCACTGGTTTCTAACATGCATTTGGGAAGTATTGGTGTTACTGTAATTATTTCCCAGAGAAGATGCTATTGTTTTGAAATAGACTATCTGTTATTTTCATGTTTATTTTTCCCAGAATCTACACCATTTTATTCAAAAAAGCTTAACTTTATTTTACAAAAGTTTTCAGTGTTAATAACTTCATATTAAGCAATATGAAGTTAAATAATTCATATAAAGAATCACTCCAGATTATCAAACAATAGCATAATTTATATATATTGCTAATATTAAAGGATGAATCATCGTTTTCATCTTTTTCAATACTCAGACTAAACAATATGATTATCTTTAAGAATTAGAATCTGACTAACCTTTAACATTAAGATTTGTCAAAAAGCCATCAACCAATACCAAATATCCTTCCTCCTTCTGAATTCAAGTCCAAGCTGATTCTTTGTCTGCAAATAATTAACTTACGGTCATAAGTCTTAAATATTTTCAAAAATCTGAATAATTCTAAAGATAATCACCATAACGTATTAGAATTCAAGAACTTTTACATTTAAAGATCTCAAATTCTCCAAACTGACATCAAATCAGACTTCTCCAAACCAAATAGACTCGCAAAATTGTTACTTAGCCTGCAGCCATTGAGCTTTGTATCATGAGTTAATTATCTTTGGAAAGTTGTTATGTTTTATAATAATCATTTAAAAACTTATCTCCTTGGTTCCTCTTCTCTTGAAAACATATAAGAATGTCTGTAACAATCTGCAACTATTATATAAACAAAATTAATTAGATCTATTTCCAGGTTTCAAAATATACTGAACATGCAAAAAATATATTCCAAATTGAATAAATTTAATATCTGTAATCAGGATTTTTATAGAAACAGCATGATTCTTTAGCTAACGTTATCAAAGAACATGAAATCAGATGTAAAAGAGCAATCAGTACCTGAAGTTTCCTCTGTAATTCACAATTTCACAATACTTCCTGAAAAACGAGAATGAAACAAAAATTAAAAAACCATCCTCAGAACCAAATCGACAGATTTACAACACTTAAAACAAAATAAAGACGAACCTCTTTTCTGATCTAACAATTACATCTCCACAAAGTATCAACAAAAACGAATTATATGGAATCTGTGACAATTTTGGAAACGAATCATCGATACCGACAAGAATTTTTTTTTGTCTAGATCTATCAGACATCGATTGTTCGATTAAGAATTATCTCTTCAGATAATAAAAACAAAGTTTACGTAATGGGTCAAATCTCTTACGGCCCAATATGATTTTGTATGACCCATAACAAAATATTTGTGTTTCAGTTAATGGCCCATAGAATTAAGTTTTTACTTTAGTATTAAACATCTTATGCTAAGTGTATAATTAAACTATTTATTATACTGTATAACACCTTTCTATTATGATAAATGTTGCATCTTTTACTAAATACACTTTTCTGCAGAATATATAATTAATCAAAATGAAAATAAATGTATGTAGTATTGTTTATTCTAGATTGATATTTTTACTATTAATTACATAAAACAATACATTTAAATTAAAACTTTATGTAAATCCTATCGATTCAAAATAACTACCCGCACGTATGTGCGGGTCCGGATCTAGTATATTAATAAAGGGTAAAACAGAAAATTTAATGTTTTTCTTAATTTGTGTGAGAAAACTTTAAACGACAACTAAAACGAAACGGAGGGAGTATATAATTTGCATAGAAACTTGAAAACGACTTATATTTTGAAACAAAAAAATTTCTCCAAAATGCCTTATATTTTGAAACGGAGGGAGTATTAAAGATGAAGTGAAATTAATTCCACGTAGTACGTAATAAGATGAATATCTCTATACTATTAAAAGAAAAATACAAATGAAAATGGGTCGGGTTAAAATCAGAAAATTGACCCGAAATTCTGAAATCGGATCTTTGAAATTTTTTTTGGAATATAAATTCGAATTAAGAATGATAAATCGAATAAAAATCAAATATTTATGGAAACAAAATAAAATCTAATTGTACTTATGGTAACTAATTATATTATACAGTAATTACGTATAATAAATTGGTTTATATATTTTTGGAACTAATTCCATAACAATTAACATTTTTGTCATTAATTTCGCTCCTTTTAGCCAATTATCATTAATTGAAAGATATCTTACTTGTTTCTAAAGATATCTAGAAAATTTATCACAAATAAGTAAAATAACCCATCTGTTTCATAAATTAAATTGATATTTTTATTTTAATTAAAATAAATCAAAATTATGGTATTTTCATACCTATAGCTTACCAAAGAAGTTTAATTTTTAATTTATAAAGATTTCTCGAATATCATTTAGAATTATTCAACAAGATGATAAGTATTTATTAAATTTTGTGAATCATGAAAATTAATAATTAATTTTCAATCATTATATTTCATCTTTCAATCTTTCATCTAACAAATAAGATACATATTCTATTATTCCTTTGTCCAAATTTTATTTTGTTGTATGACTAAATAATATTCCCATTAGAGCTGTCAAACCGAGTTGATTCGTCCCGTTAAGCCTGTTTTGCGAAAAGGCAAAAAATATTTTGACTTGTAGTTAGTCGGTCCGTACGACCCGCGGATAGCATATATGAAATACAAAGCCGTCCCGCAAATGTATGCGGATTTGCGGGATTGTCTGTGGATTTTGTTTAAATAATTTTAAAGTAATCAAAATTTAAAATACTACTAAAATAAATAAATAAATAAAAATACTATTAAGAGTTTGTTTAAATTACCACATGTTGAATAAATTATAATTTTATCAATAAATACTAACATGCGAGCTGATCCGCCAACCCGCGGATAAAAACCGATTAAACCTATGACCCACTGCGAATTAATCCTTGTGGCCCGCTTATTTGCGGGTTTAATATATTTTCTCAATTCTGCCCCATAGTGAGATGATTTTGGCTCGATCCGCGGTTTTTGACCTAAAGTGACTGCTCTAATTCCCATGAATCGTCTAATTTTATAATTGTAAAACACAAAATTCTATTTTGTAAATCATAATTAATACGATGGGTTTGTTTATAAACAATTTAACATTTTTCTACAATTCGTTATTATGAATATTTATAAGTATACTACACGATTCGCTCTACTAAAAACACACACAATATTAAACTCAACGTATATAAAGCAATATTCCCCCGCGGTGCACCGCGGGTCCGATCCTAGTAACTAAAAAAAAGTGGAAGTACAAATTATTGTGGGATATAGTCGTTGAGAAGCAAAATATGTCCTACGTTATACGTATTATTATTGCCCACTAGATTGTCACCGGTTTATTAGCTACACGTGAGCTGACTTTAGTCAATTAATATCCATATATATATATCTCTTTCGGTGTAAATCATGTAGTCTTTTGTGTAAAACAAAAAAAAAGAAATGTAGTCTTTTGTTTTCCTTCTCCTAACAAAATAAAAAAAACATTCATATATAGTCGTTTCCCAAAAAGATGTCCTTAATTTATAGTAAGTGGAAGATTTATCCATACATTATAAAATGACAAAAATAAACCACCATAAGCAAGGTTTAACATTTTATAAAAGAAAAAAAATATACAGAGTGGATACAATGTGATTATCGAAGCGAGGTCCTACATGTAGTTAAAAGAAACAGACATTAATCTACAAGTAAAGAGTTCTTCGTCAGAGGTTGTTGTTTTTATTGCCATGTGACTATTATAGTTAAATTTTGATGGTCCTTTTTAATCTAATCTTGTCACGTCCCTTTTCTTATTTCACAGTTTTTCACTATTACATAATTAAAATTTAGCTTGGTTCGATTTTATATTTCGACAACTTTAGCGTTATTAATTAAATTTAGTCGAATAGAACTCAGAGAACATCTGCATTATTGCATATATATACTATTTATGATAATTACATTTGTTACATCACACACTTTCACGATTTCTAGTTTTTGTAATGATATGCGGCCATGTGGGTGAGAGGTATCTCTATTAGTGAAAATTAATTATTATTATTATTGGATTTAATGAATTATAACCCAAAGATTCTGTGAATTTTGCTAGGTCCGTATCAAGTTGATGTTTACAGTAAAGTTATAATAATTAATACAATGTTAATCATTGCAGTTAACAATCAATATTTTCCACAAATCAAGATGTTAACGATGCGGAAATCATGTTGTTATGCACCATAATTACCTCACTAATCCCCCACATGATCCAAATACGTCACATCGATTAAGATTTTTATGAAGATACCAAAATCACATTTCACAGTGGAAAAAGATCCAAAATTCTTTTAGATAATGACGTTTTCATTATACAACAGACACACGGAAGCCTACTAGATTTTATATGGCCCCTTTTTTACATCATAAAATAACCTCATTGATTATTTTACTACAATGAGAGAAATTCTACCAAACAGAATCAAATGAACAAAAAATGCAAACTTCACTTCTAATCATATTCGAAATCTAATCAATAGAACTGAGATTATTGAAATGTCTTCACTAATTACGCGGATTCAGCTGGCTTGTCCCTTTTAACTTCTGGTGTTTCACTGTAAATCTACAGTTACCACACTATGGAATTAAAATTAAAAAGTTGCTCCTCTGCTAAGGAACACTATAATTGATTTGGAAGTCACCAATTCAGATAAAAGTGTTAGATAACAAGTTCCTAAGGGGGAAACAAAAGTTACCCGAGAAGTCATCATTTTACAAACTTAACTAAGACACTTTCACTCTCCATTGCTGGTAAGAAACAGAGCAAACAAGAGACACCAGAAATATGTGACATATATTGCTGAAATGATGTGAATATTCAAATGACTGCCCATGCTCATAACTATGCATCTTGGATAGTTTTTACACAATCTGCCAGCTAAGAACCCAGCAAAACAAAATTTTTGCAAATGAATTTATTGAAGCATACCCAAATCAAAGAGAGTCATACTCACATACACAACGGCCACTGCATTCTTTGGAACCAAACAGTGGAAGATCGAAGACTTTTGCTGCAGGCTGATGCCTATTTTTGCTCAACATAAGATTTAACGCTCTCCATCCATCTAACGTACTCAGCTTTACCTTTGTTCTTCATATACCGATGCAAGAAAACAGCAAGCTCGTCGCTTATACCTCTTTCCTCTAAAAATTGATAAAGTGCGTCTTGAAGCTGATCATCTAATTCCCTGTAACAACCAAATGTAAAGACAATAAGTTCACTTATTTCATTCTTGTATCTCAATTTTTAATGCTGAAGAAAAGAATCAGTCGCCGTACTCAAACTCTGGTCCACCATAGGAAGAAGCTGAAGTGTTGATGCCTTTACGAATGCAGAGCTTCGATATCTCTATGGTATCTGGCCAAGCAGAACACATGATCTCTAAAACTTCACTAGCACCACCCTTGGAGATGTTGACAATGAAAGTGATGTGAAGAATATAATCAGGTTCAGTTTTGGTAGATTTTGACGTCGGAACTGATCTATCAAACATAGTTGCTTCAATTTTGATGTCTTCTTTATCTCCAAATTTCCTTTTCAAGCTAATCCACTGCTCTCCAGGCCGTTCATCCACAGTGAATGGACCAAAACTGTCAGGAGGCTGCAAATTTGTACAAGCAAAGTGCTAAAAGTGTTATTCAATGTAGCAAGTAGAAATATCGGAAATGGGAGCCAAAGCTCATGGAAATGCATTGTAGTTCAATAAGACGAACTAGAAGAGGTTACTAGCTAACGTCTGGGTTTATAAGAGGTTACTGCAGCTTGCAAATCCCAAAACAGAGAGGCCATTTCAGAGATGTGAACATTTTCTTATTATTCATCCAATAGTTTTAAAATTGTATCAACCTAAGTTACACAGATCAACATTTATATGATTCCCATGCAAAAACAATCAATTGATCAAAAACACTATTCCAAAATCAGATTCCAAGAAGGCATAAAGTATCTAGCTTTATCGCTTATACTAATAACCCAAAAAAAAGAGATTGATAGAAAACCTGAAGCGGAGGCGAGTGATCGAGTTCGTACTCAATCTCATTGCGGATCAGTCGTAAAATGTTGCCCTGGAAAGCTGACTTCTGCATTTCTGACACGTAACTCCCGGAGCTCAGACATCTGCGGCTGATTAAAAATTTAGGATTTTGATTCGAGGGCAAACCAATCCTAGGGCTCCGGTAAGCAATTGAAGGAGACGAATTAGAAAAGAGTGTTCTTCTCAGACATCTGACGAAGCGAGCCATTGACAACAGAGATGAATCGCGGAGCTAGATTGGGGTTTTTCCTCTTTTAGGGTTTAACTCATTTAAGATGTTCCATCGTACGGTTCTAGTTTCTTGGTCTAAAAGTCTAAACTAATCTACACCGTTTAATTTATTAGTATTTTTTGTTTTTTTCGTAATTCCACACAAAAAAAACAATGGAAATTGGAATTTTTTTTTTTGGCGGCAGTTGTTATTCTACCGCCTATTTCCGACCAATCAAATGTTGTTAGCTTTTTTTTCTTCTTCGATCTAGGTCTTACAGTTTCGATGTGAAGCGAAAAATCTTCTTTTTTTTTTTTTTTGGGTGTAAAGAGAAAAAGTCTCAATTTTGTCAAGCATCAATCAATGGCGACGGAGTACGAGCGGAAGAGATTGGAGAACATAAGACGGAACGATGAGATGATGGCGGCTCTCAATGTCCGTGCCAAAGCCTCTTCTCTTCTCTCGGCCGCAACCGCAGCCAAACGCTCTCGAGATGATTCTAAATCATTTAAGAAAAAGAAGCCCAAGCCTGCTACAACAACGCCCACTGTTATCCGAAAGTCTCTACGCACCAGAGGATTGAATCCAGATTCCGCTGGCTTACCTGATGGGTTTTCGGATTTCCGGATGGGTTCTCAGATCACACACCACAAACCGTCTCCTAAGAAGCAATCGCCACGTCTATTGGCTCCTCTGCCCTTCGATTCTGCTTATGAAGGAGATGGTTCTTATACGCAATTGGTTGATACTCTTTTGGGTGTTGAGAGTAAGTCTTGTAGAGGCAAATTGGTTAAGGGGGAAACTGGATCGGTTAAGGATGAGAACGAGTCTCCTATGGTGAGCACTAGGAGTACTTCTCGTGTATCGAAAGTTTCTGTTAAAAAGGAAGAGCCAGATGATTCCTTCAGTGATTGTGTGAAGAAGGAATTTGATATTCCGGTGAAGCCTGAGAAAATTGAGTTTGAGGATGGTTTTGATCAGGATTTGTTGAGTTTAGAACCGCATAATGTTGCACGTGTTGTGCCTGGGAGGATTTTTGTTGTCCAGTTCTTACCTTGCGAGGATGCTAAGATGGTTGCTGCAGGGGACAAACTTGGGAATGTTGGGTTTTGGAATTTGGATTGTGAGAATGAGGAAGATAATGATGGGATATATCTATTCACTCCTCACTCAGCACCACACTCAGCACCAGTTTCATCTATCGTGTTTCAGCAAAACTCTCTATCAAGGGTAAGTCTTCAGTTAAAGGACTTGTCTTTATTTAAACTTTGATTGGAGAAACTTTATCTCTTCTTTTAGTCATTAGTTCGTTGGTGCATTCATGGCAGGTTATTACCAGCAGCTATGATGGTCTCATCCGGTTGATGGATGTCGAGAAGTCGGTTTTTGATCTGCTTTATTCCACGGATGAAGCTATATTTTCGCTCTCGCAGAGACCAAATGATGAGCAAAGCTTGTACTTTGGTGAGGATTATGGAATGTTCAATATATGGGACCTCCGAGCAGGAAAATCAGTTTTCCATTGGGAGTTACATGAACAGAGGATTAACTCTATAGACTTCAACCCGCAAAATCCCCATGTCATGGCTACAAGTTCCACAGATGGAACTGCTTGCCTTTGGGACCTGAGAAGCATGGGAGCCAAAAAACCGAAAATATTGACTACTCTAAATCATTCTAGGGCTGTGCACTCTGCTTATTTCTCACCTTCTGGCCTTTTACTTGCAACTACAAGGTATCTTGTCCTGTCTTCCTCGGCCTGTTCAATACATTTCATTAAGAACTACAAGTATCGGTTTTATTGGTAATCTCTTTGATTTAAGAACTCACATCAAATGTCGTTTGTTTTTGTTTGAAAAATTATTGTGGATAGATGTAAGTAATGGGGAATTTTTCTAGTTTTGTTGAGGTTCATAAAGTCTGTGCATTCGGTATAAAAGATGAAAAAACACCACTGCCTTGAAGCAATTAAGTCTGGGAATCACTTAACTTAGCAAGAAAACCTTGTGTCTTGATGGTTTTGAGACGGGAAATTCAATACATCTCTTAAACTTTTAGCAACGTAGACAAAGAGTAAACATGTGTAGAGTGAAACTGATGTATAATGTAGGTCCCTCGCATACTATGTGAAATGCTAGTGGCTGTTCTATTTCTACCTCCATCTCTGGGGCTAGCTAAACTCTTGTTTTGTTTTCCTTGTAGCCTTGACAACTACATTGGTATTCTAAGCGGCGCAAATTTTGAGAATACTTACAAGATATATCACAATAATAACACCAGCAGGTGGATCTCCAAATTCAGGTATGTTCCAGCATCTTGTACCACATTAAGCTCGCAGTTCCAATGCACTTTTCTTCTTGATGTACTTGCATTTTGACAAAATAAATCACTGCACAAGTAATTGTTACGAGTCTTTCACTATTCCTCTGACCATCAATACACTCTTTTTCCACTTTTGTTGTATGAGAAATGCAAAGAAGTAGGCGTTGATTTGTCTCTTTCTCAAAAAATTGAAGCTGGTAATGATTTTGATTGCAGGGGAGTGTGGGGGTGGGATGATTCATACATCTATGTTGGCAATTTGTCAAAAAAGATTGATGTGATCAATCCGAAACTAAAGCGAACAGTGATGGAACTGCATAACCCTCTGATGAAAGCTATACCATGCAGAATCCATTGTCATCCTTATAATGTTGGGACACTTGCAGGATCCACAGCTGGAGGACAGGTCTATGTTTGGACAGCAAAGTAGCCTATTTTAACCATTTTCAAGCAGCATGAAATGTTATGTTGTTTTGTGTACCGTGGCTTTAATAGCTTAAAGTTAAATTCTATTGATTTGTATTAATCCTAAAGGTGAAAGCAAAATGAGAGAATTGCATGTACTCCTTGTTCATCTACCATCTAAGTTTACATTCTTATCATTTTGAGGGGAGTTTAGTAGATTGATCTTCTTGGACCTTTTGGTTTCTTTGTAAATCTCTTTGTAACTAACCCACAAAAAATTCAAATTTTTTTTTTTGGCGGCAAATTGTATTCTACCGCCCATCTCCGACCAATAAAGATGTTAGCTTTTCAAGGTGTGAAGACAAAAGTCTTATTTTTTCTTGTTTTCCGAGAAAAGAAAGTCTCATTCTTTCACCCACGCTTCAATGGCGACGGAGTACGAGCGGAAAAGATTGGAGAACATAAGACGGAACGATGAGATGATGGCGGCTCTCAATGTGCATGCCAAAGCTGCTCTTCTCTCCGCCGCAACCAAACGCCCCCGCAACAAATACGAGAAGAAGAATGCTAAACCTGCAATTATCCGAAAGTCTCAACGCACCAGAGGCTTGAATCCAGAATCCGGTGGCTTACCCGATGGGTTCTCAGATCCACAACGCAACGCTTCCCCGCAAGTCATCAGCTCCTATGCCATTCGATGTGGCTTATGAAGGAGAGGATTCTCTTACGCAATTTGTTGATACTCTTTTGGGTATTGCTAGAGGACCATTGTTGGTTAAGGTCTGTGAGGATGATAACGAGGCTCCTATGTTGAGCACTAGAAGTTCTAATGTTGTTGTCAATAGGGAGGAGCCAGATTCCCCCAGAGATCATGTTAATAAAGTTGATTTTGATCTCGAGTCTTTGAGTTTAGAACCGCATAATGTAGCACGTGTTGTGCCTGGAAGAATTTTGGTTGCAAAGTTCTTGCCTTGCGAGGATGTTAATATGATTGCTGCAGGGGACGCACATGGGAGTGTTGGGTTTTGGAATTTGGTCAAGGAGGAAGATGATGGGATCTATCACCCCTCACACTAACGTAATCTCATCACTTGTGTTTCAGCAAAACTCTTTCTCAAGGGCAAGTTTCAATTTTTAAAGGACTTGTCTTTTCTTTTCTTTTTTTGTTTTGTGGTTGGAGAAAAGTTATCTCTGTTTATATATCGGTGTTGCATTTTATGGCAGGTCATTAGCAGCAGCTATGATGGTCTCATCCGGTTGATGGATGTAGAAAAGTTGGTTTTTGATTTGGTTTGTTCGCGGGATGAAGCTATATATTCGCTTTCACAAAGCCCAAATGATGAGCAAAACTTATACTTTGGCGAGGGAGAGGGAATGTTCAATATATGGGACCTCCGAGCAGGAAAGTCATTTTTCCACTGGAAAATACATAAATACAGGATTAATACTATTGACTTCAACCCGCAAAATCCCCATGTCATGGCTACAAGTTCTGAGGATAGGACTGCTTGCCTTTTGGGACTTGAGATGCATGGGAGCAAACAAACCGATAACATTGACTACTGTACATCATGGCAGAGCTGTGCACTCTGCTTACTTCTCACCTTCTGGCCTTTCACTTGCAACTACAAGGTATCTTGTCAGCTTTCTCCTCACCCTGTTCAATACATTCCATTATGAACCACAAATATCGGTTTTACTAATAATCTCTTTGATTTAAGAAAACACATCAGATGTTGTTTGAAACATAATTGTGAAGAAATTAAGTAAAGATATGATGCCTCGATTGTTTTGAAAAAACATTATTGCCTTGAAGCAATCAAGTATAAGAAAATCTTGATGGTTAAGAGACAATCAGTCTATACTTTGGTCTCTACAAGTTTTACCAACTGAGACACGAACAAACATGTGTAGAGTGAAGCTGATTTATAATGTAGCTCTCTGTCATTTTTCTTTTACTGTACTGGTAAAATGTGACTGCTATTGGTTGTTTTATTCTCGCTTTGTTTTCTTTGTAGCCGTGACAACTATGTTGGTATTCTAAGTGGCCGCAATTTCGAGAATCCTTCGATGATATATCACAAAAGTAGCACCAACAGGTATAGCTCCAATTTCAGGTGTGCTCCAGTATCCTGTACCTTAATAACCTCTCAGTCGTTCCAAATTTCCAATACACTTTTTTCTTGATGTACTTGTGTTCTGACCAAAATAATCACTGCACAAGTAATTGTTGCTAGTCTTTCACTATTCCTATGACCACAATACATTCTTTTCCCACTTTTTATGAGAAATGAAAAGAAGTAGGCATTGCTTTCTTCTGTCTGTTAAAAAATTGAAGCTGGTAATGCTTTTGATTGCAGGGGAGTATGGGGTTGGGATGATTCATACATATTTATCGGCAATCTGTCAAAAGGAATTGATGCGATCAATCCAAAACTAAAGCAAACAGTAATGTCACTGGAAAGCCCACTGATGAAAGCTATTCCATGCAGAATTCATTGCCATCCTCTTAATGTTGGGGTGCTTGCAGGATCCACAGCTGGAGGACATGTCTATGTTTGGACAACAAAGTAGCATACTTGACCAATTTCAATTAGCATGAGGTGTTGTGTTGTTTTGTTCTGTCGTACAGAAGAAATGGAAGCAAGTTTTTTTTCTTACTGTAGCTCTTATAGCTTAAACGCAAATCCTTGTGATCACTATATTAATTCTAAAGGTGATTCAGCAAACAAAAGCAAAATGAGAGAAATGCACCAACTACTGTATTAGTTCCAAAAGCATAATAACCCCACAGAAGGGTACATCTTCTTCATCTACCACCTAAGCTTCCCTTGTAATCATCTCAATGAGGTCCATCACCTGGTTTTTGTACATTGCTCTTCTGTTCTTTTTCTGGTTTCGATTCTTCTTTTGGGGAGAGTTTAGTAGATTGATCTTCTTGGGTCTTGGTTGGAGCATTTCCTGAAGGTTTCTTGGTTTCCAAAACAATCTCTTTTATTGTCTCTTCGATTTTTCCCAGTCTCTGTTTCATCTCCATTAGCTCTTCGTGAGACTTGGTTGCTGCTTCTACTTCTAATGCCTTTTGTTCAGCTTCTTCTTTCTCTTTCTTTTCTTCTTCTTTCCTTTTCTTCTCTCCAAGTTCCTGAGAATTAGTCCAATATCACAAGGCATATGCTGACATTAGCCAGAATTAAGACACAGGACAAACATTAAAACATGATGACTCAAACATCTTCAGAAACTCATATCAGTTTGATAATGAACAAAAAAGGATAACTCACTGCATCCATGATCTTCATTTTCCGGCGAGCATATTGAGCAACCAGATACACAGCTGTTACAAGAAACAAAAACCATTTATAAACAAGTAGCATTGAGATCTTTGACACAAAACAATTAAGAGAGAAAATAAACGGGAGTGAATCGCAATACCTACAGATGGCAAGCAGACGATAATGAATTGCACCACATGCCAATCAAACCTAACACAAAGCAAAATCCATATGAGGACTTACTACAACACAAACCAGCACAAGAACTCAACTTACTATAAGAGCTAGTGTCAGAAAGTGAAAGAGAAAAGCGCAGCAGAAATTGAAAACCAGTTCACTTGTTTCAGCCTAAAGAAGCTCACATTCTACAATTCTGCAACATTACTCTTGCCTATAATTAACATCAAAATCGACAAGGTAAGTGGAAAAAATAGGGTCTTTCCATGATTTAAGGCTTATAGAAGCATGAATCAAACCGATTATAGCATCTGATAAACTAAACAAAGGACAAGATCAACGAAGAGCGTGTGCAGAAATTGAAAATCCATCAAAAGAATTCGAGAGTAAAACCCTCTTAAAACCCCCAAATTTCCAGCAGAAATTACCCAAATTTATTCTTCTTGGGTGGTTCAGTGAACAAGATCTTCGCAGCGGTCACGAAATCGAGCTTGTCGAGTTTCTTATAGGTCTCATCGTAGCGAGAAACACTAGATTCAGTCTCGCTGTAATGAGCAACGCTAGATTCCGTCTTCTCGACTTTGTTCCCACCATTCTCTCCTTTAGTGCAGAGACGTCGGATCCTGTAAAGCTTCAACCGGGTCGATAATCCGACCCACGAGCCTCTGCCGCGAATCATCCCTGATGATCTCTCCCGGCGATGATAGCTTAACTACTCGCGCAGCGCATTTTCCACAAAAATGAAACGCTCGGGTTGGTTTCCGAGATAACCGGATCTGACCAAACCGGACCGGGTCTGGGGTAATTATGTACGAATTGAAGACTCTCATATGTCAATTGTGATCGTCTGACTTTGTCATCAATTTTAGCAACTTCAATCAAATTTCGTATGCTTGTCAACAAATATTTGTTACCTTTTGTTTTCAGTTTCTTTTTCCTTTTTCCAGCTTTGGAGACTATTTGTGAGCTAAGATGTTGACCTTTGATTTCTTTTCCTTTTTTTCCATATTAAATTAGTTTTGATTATTATTATATTATGCTAAGGAAACATTTTATTTTGAAATTAACCAAGGCAAATTAGTGGCAGGCCTCTAATATTTCATATATTCAAGATAGAAAGTTGAACTTTTCATACAACTTGTAACTCTTAACTTTTTAGTCTTTACGACATTATATTATATATTATATAGTTATATAAAAAAAAGAATATACGCCAAGTTATATGATTGTGATATTTTTGTGGACACTACATTCAATAAACAAACTTAGATCCATGATTAGTGTCATTTTTTCCCCCAAAATTTTATTCTCTGCAATGAAAATGGTTTATTGTATTATCCCACTTTGCACCCATAATTAGTCGCACCACTTTCAAAATTATACTATAAGCTTATTAAAAAGAAAAAGGGTGGTCTCGAGACAAAAAGTTGAGCCAAAGATAGGGGAATATTAAGCTTTATATTGGACCCCATAATAAACTGTGAAATTATTAAAGCGTACCGCCAATATTAATTTAAGTTGTATGCATTTATAAATCATTGGCTATAACGATTCTATAAGGTATTTCAATCGTTACCGGTGATCGGTTGTGAAAAAAATCATAAACATGCAAAGTGTACATCATAAAATCGTTTTAAGAAAATAAAATTTATAGTAGGAGTAATATTTATGGAAGTAGTATACTAGTATAATTTATTTATTCAAGATTCAAAACTAGTAGTAATAAAAGCTAAGCAAGTCTCATTCTCTTCCTAAAGCTGTATAATCGAAAAGAGGAAACATAATTGACATCGGAAATCTCAAAAGACAAGTCGTTGGCATTTTGTGTAATTTAATTATATATGTTGAATTGAGAAAAAGGGTAAATTGTCATCAACTTATTCGACAGTTTATATAAAAATAAAACCGAGTCACTCTTTCATCGGAAGAACTTCCCTCCGGCCGATTTTCTGACGCCGGCGATACTCTATCTCCTCTGTCTTTTTTTTCTTTTTGTTTCTCTCCGGTGAAGAAAATGTTGGAGCCATTACGATTCTCCGCTTAACTTGTAAACCTTGAAAAGAAGAGGAAGAATTTGAAAGAAAGGAAAATGCTTTGCCGGAAAAGCTCAAGCTTTGTGGATAGAGGCAATGTTCCGGTTTATCTCAATGTTTACGATCTAACTCCCATTAATGGCTATGCTTACTGGCTTGGTCTTGGCGTTTACCATTCTGGTGTTGAAGGTTTGTCTTTCTGTTTCTTGAATTCATGTTTTAGATCTAAATACTAGTAATTTCAATTCAAAAGATTCTATCATATGTTAGATCGGATTTTCTTGGGATTTCAAGTCATTTATAACTTCAAAATGTTAGATATTAGTATTGAGGAAAAAATTGATTTTTTGAAGAATTTAGTTCATTTTTGTTGTTGTTGGTGTATAGTTCATGGTATAGAGTATGCTTTTGGAGCTCATGAGTATCCAAGCACTGGAATTTTCGAAGGGGAGCCAAGGCAATGTGAAGGCTTTACGTTTAGGAAATCGATTTTGATTGGTAAAACGGATCTTGGTCCTCTGGAAGTGAGAGCTACTATGGAGCAACTTGCTGACAACTACAAAGGAAGTTCTTATAATCTCATCACCAAGAACTGCAACCATTTCTGCGATGAAACTTGTATCAAGCTAACTGGGAATCCAATTCCTAGTTGGGTTAACCGCCTTGCAAGAATCGGTAAAATCTCTGGTAACTCCCCTCATTCTTTACATTTTGGGCTTTTATGATTGTACAAGTTAGAGACAGAGAGAGACTGAATCAAGTAGTTATGTTTGCAAGTGTGTATAATGATGCTAATACTCAATGGCTTATAAAGTCTCATCTTTTGGTTTCACGTAGATTAAGGTTTGAACAAAAATCATATGCTTCAAGACTACAATGTATTTCAAGTTTCCATCTTTACGCATGAGTAAACCGAGTTTAGCTTGGAGGATTATCGATAGAACAGCTTTTAGACTATAATGTGACTTGGTTTCGCTTCTTTTTTTTCTCGGGGTTGGCCTGAAAGATTTCATCTTTATGCGTATGATCGATAAGAACAGCTTCTGACTTGGGTTTGGCTTTAAGTTTCCATATTTAGGCATTTGAACATATTTGGAAAGGACTCTGTTTCTGTGCCCTGAAGTTGAATTGTTGTGTGTTGTTGATATAAGGCTTCATGTGCAACTGTGTGCTTCCTGCGACCATAAACGCGACCAGGTTTGGAAACAACAGGATCAATCAAGACAAATCATGTGAAGCAGAATCTGAGAAGAAGAAACTGACCAGTGTATCGAGCAGAGAGAGGTCTACTACGATTGCTACTCCTTCGTCGTCTTCTTCATCTCCTTCAGTTCAAGTCCGCGGTCGAAGCAGGAAAAGGCGTCCTCGTGCTCTGCAACCTTCATCGCCTTTGACTCTCGGATCTTCCTCCGTTTGACTATAAATAAAAATGAAATTTGGCTTTCGTAGTTAAATCCATTTTTGATCTCTCAATTAGAGAGACCACTCTGTTTTTCCTTCTCTTAATTGCGAGTGTGCTTTGTAATCTTGTTAATATGCAAACCTTCTTCTTTTCTTTCTGTAATTTTATTTACATTTTCGTTTCAGATTTTGGACATTATTTTTACAGTCATATATCAAATTCTCGTAAGTACAAATCAGAAACAAGAAATAAGGAAAAGAAGAAGAATCTATAAGTCTTTGCCTTTTCTGAAACTAAAGGAGAATATATTCCCGCATACTTTTTAGATTATTATCTCACTTTCGACAACATTATTCAAGAAAATTTAAAATATCATTTACAAACAAAAAAGTTAATGATGAAAAGCAGAGGCCTGACATTAGAACATGAGCCAAATGGCTTGCTCTACTATTCTTACGGTAGTAAATTGTTTCCAAATTCTTACACCCTCTTAAAAAATATGCAAATTTTTTCACTTTGACAAGAAACTGATATCCCTCTTACATTGATTTTGACCTTTACTTTAACAAAATATTTATAAGATTTGGGGGATTTTGCTAAAACAACAACACGACCAAATCAAATCATTCACGCAAGACAAAAGCAAACCGACTCTGTTTCACAAAAAGACTCTCTGAGAGAAAAATAGTGTCTGTTTCACTAAGCTGAGATTTGGCTTGTCTCTGAGAGATATAGAGAGAAGAGTGACACAGCATCTTGCAGATGTGTTGATCTTACATCTTCTGGCAAAGGGGCATCAAAGGCCGTCTCAAAACATTTTAGCTGAGTCTCTCGGCTTGGATCCAAACTCAGATCTGACAGAAGCAAATCGCATATTTCCTCTGCCATCTTTGAGTATGCAACTCTGCAACATTCAAAGTACTTGTTAGTTAACTATGTATATCAGTATATGTAACCAATATGCTAAAAAGTGATGGAACAGAGAATGTGTGACCCGTATCTGTCCACACAGCAAACTTGGGCTGTGTTGTCATCAGAAGCCAACTAATTAGTTTAGGAGCAATTACTATGGATGCCACCAAATTTAGAAGGATCCATCCAAAATCGCTCCGTTATGTATCATTTTCTAGGTTATGGTAATAGGTAAGAGGTCGTATCCTAGGAATGGTCTAAATCTTATACAAACAAATGCATGGAATGATGAAGGATCATACAAGTACATGCAAGTCATGAGTAGTTCTTGACGATTCAATGCTACAGTATCAGCAAGTGTTAGTGAGACATATGAAGTGCTTACCTAGCTTCAACTGGTAATCTGTCACCCCAAACAGCCAATGATTCGTTTAAACGACCGACAAAACTTCTGCACGACTCATTTGTGCTATCAAGGGGTTCCTGTGGAAGCAAAGGAGTCATGTTGTTTGATTATTCATACAAGTGTTTACACATGGAGAAAAAAAGACTCTTATGCCCATGATCATAGGACTCCAAGTTCCAGTGTTTAAAGCAATTTTGCTGAGTATTAGTGCAAGAAATGATATATTGTACAATCAGTTTGGTCAACAACAGCACAATCACAGTTTAAGCAATTTAAGAGGTAGAGGGGTTGAATCTGAAAAATAAGACTATAAGAAAACGTAGACATACCAGTTCTACCATAGTATCAGCATCTTCTTGCAGTGAACTCTTTAGTAAATAGAATGACATGTAAATCCCAGCACCCAAATCCCAGTTTTCAATCTCAGACTTGCGATCATCCATTGAAGTAGCGATTCTCCATATTTCTGAATGGTTAGCTGCATTTAATAAAGACAAAACAAATCACTCCAAACAGATCGATCCTTCCTACACTACGCAGGGATCATGTTCTAAATGAACAGTTTGATCTACAAATAAGGAAATGACGGGGCTTACCTGACAAAAACAATAAATGAGCAACTGACGTAATAAAAATGGAATGAGCTTTTTGCCAGTTTGTGCATTCAATAAAGTGGTCAAGAGCCTTTACGAAATCTCCATGGTAATTGTAATAAACTGCCTGCAACACAATAAAGTAAATCAGAAATCAGCATATTAGTATAAGATCGAAAAAGGTAACCACAAGTACCTTTAGCAGAAGTAGAAAAGAAGAGTGTTTCTATAGTGTCCTTACCAGAGCTTCGTGCATCCATTCAGAAGGGATACCCAAGTCCTTGATAAATTGCCGTTGTGATTCCACAGAACTCCAAGTTTCACAGAATTTAAACAGGATTTCCCGAATGACAATGACGTGTAGATATGGATGATCTTCACGGAAGGGTATGTGAAGAACAACGTAGATAGCCCAATGACAAAGGCCCTGAGAGAGAAGCTGTGCAACAAATCCCATATCGAGAGTGTGAAGATCATCTGAAGTGAAAGCTCCAACTGCTTCCAGAATCCCTCGGTGGTGCCAGATCATATGATAGTCAAGTGGATCATCAGTTGAAGAGAAGGCACTGAACATAGTCTTCAGGAAACCAATTTCTTCTTGTTCTTTGCTGTGCAGAAGCATAAGATAATACAAGAGGTCAGAATGCTTGTTGCTTACAAACCCATCTGCAGGTCCTTCGTCAATATATATTGGGACGGGCCACGGAGCTTTTGCCTGATCTAGCAGGAGCTGATAGCTTCTGAAGATGACAGGTAATGAACTGTCGGGAGGCAGATGATGCCACATTAACAACCCTAGGAATCTCTTCCAGTCAATTGTAAAATCTTGTAACGCATCATGGATATTACCAGCAAGCAATTCATAGAGCTTAATTCTCTCCTTCTCGATGTAATTAAAATCCAGCCCATTCCTTCTCCAAAGGTGAAGCTGCTGCAAGATATCATTGCGGTTTACAGTTGATCCACCAGCCTGGCTCAACAAACAAGCAAGTCTAACATCTCCCTTAGATATGGCAAGTTCCACAGCTGAATCAAGCTCTCGTCCAGTTAGAAGAAAGAATAAGTGCTCAAGGTAGCCAGAACCATTTAGATCACTCACATCTTCTTGTACACGGTGACTGACACTTTCTTGGAGCCAACAACTGAATTCTGCTCTTCGGATAAGCGGAAGAGCTTCTGTATCAATTTCTGCAGAATCTTCCTTCACATCCTGCATCATCTCTTCCTCATTATCAGAAGCTGCATGATTCAAACGTTCAGTACTCTGTCTCTCAGAGAAGAGAACTTTTACGAGTTCCCACACCATGACTTGGTGCATCAAAAACAGCTTCGCAGATGTGGACAACCCAGCAACTTCCAGCTGTTTCTCGATTATACCAATATAATTTCGGCAGACATCTGAAAGAGCTACACGATCAGTGACAACATTCTGAAGTTTAAGACTGAAAGAGCCAAACCTAACATCTTCTTCTACATGATCCAATTCCTTGTGGAGACTTAAGGGAGCCTCAAACGCAGAATCAATAAGTTCTTTCCGAACTTTTCCCTTTCTATCCCAAACCACTTTGTCAATTGCTATCTTTTCTTTATTGATCACAGAAGACAATACCATCTGGGAACTGGAGATACATATTGGCTTACCAGTGTGAAAAAGGACGCCATTTGGGCCCCAACCTGCTCGGAACGACCTTCCCATGAATAATGCTGCATCAACAACATTGCGGGAATAGTTATCAGTTAATGGCGTGACATGGCTGATGTCCAGCTCGAAACCTCCCGTTTTCGACTTTCTCACTGCCAGATTCTTATTTTGTTGCACCATCAGGATACTGCCTAGGGAGCTTTTATCATTACCAGGGTTGTACTCCAGCAAAGCAAGCGGAGTTTTCCGCACGACAGGTGGAGGGTCTTGATGACTATTTCTTTGAGAAATTTTCTGTGAAGGTCTTACATTTCGTTTAGTCAAGGATGTCATATTATGGGAAGTCTGCTCTCTAAAGTCCTCACTCTCGTCTACATCTTCATGAGGAAACATCAGCATTCTCATTTCTTTCATCTTTCCAGGATCAAGTCCTAGATGAGCTGGAAGAGAGTGAGAAAGCTCGAGCTCAGAAGTTTCCATTTGATCTTCTTCATCAATGTCAGCAACCTTGTTACCATCCAGTCCTACGGGATCTCCCAAACCTGGCGCATCATCCATAGCAATATCATCTGCCTCATCATCACTCAATCCAAATCTGCTGAAATGAGGAACCAAGAACTTCCATAAACCATTATCGGGATCAAATGAGATGAAAGTAGCCCCTTGTCTTTCCGTGCTCTGTTTTAATTTGTAAGCAATATGGTCAACTCGCTCTTTTCCCCAAGTTAGATTTGGTATGTTGACAATCAGAGTCACCTCAGCAGCCTTGTTAAGTCCCTCACCAACAACTGGCTTGGAGCTCTCATCATCATAAACAATTACCTCGTGCCTACGAAACTTAACTATCTGATCCAAGTCCAACCTTCTTACATCTGTGTTTCCAAGAAACTTGATATAACCGTAACCAATCCTGCCAATAGTGAAATCAGGAACCCGGCTGCAATAATCAGGATTTTTAATTTCTCGCTCAACCAGGTCGTTCATACATGGCTTCAAGAAGTAGTCAGGTGAATTCAACATAGGCAGTGAATCAATGATCTCTTTGGAATGCTCACATAAGGCAGCAATTCCATCTAAAGAGATCCTTCTTTTCTTTCGCGAGTCTAAATTTCTAGCCATACTTGAAATCTCTGTCAAAATAGAAATTTTGGAAATGAAGAACTTAGGAGAATGAATGACAAGTATTCAAAATCAGATGATAAAAGTTGAGGCACACGAAGACATGCTTAAACTAGAGTAGCTAAGGTCAGATAAAAACATAGCAGAGACGATATACGTTACACAAGAAGCTTTTAAAGGCTTACCTGGAAATGGTTGAATAGAAAGAGACGTCATGATTGACGGAAACAGAAACAAACTCCGAGAGGCAAAGAAAGCGACAATCTAGGGTTTCCTTTCTTATAATCACTGACTCTACCGCGACCTTTCCGATTTCTCTTACAAATCCATTACAGAGACGACGCTAACTAACGGCGGCGACGATGATTGGATAAAAAATTAAACCCGTCCCGATTCCCCCAAATTCCTTCTTCTTCACACTGATAGTGGTCGGAGTTAGCCGCCGCTGGGGAAAAGAGAGGGAAAGCTCTCATAATGTGTGAGATCTGCCGGTTTGGTTTAGGATTTGTTTAACCATCCGACCCGAACCGAAATCATTTCCGATTTAAAAAAGAGTCAAAATT